TCTGCTTTCCCCCCACCCTCCCAGCCATTTCACTTCAGAAAATTGCCACTTTTCTTCTTCTCTTGATTGCTTATTGCTGTGACATTCAGTTTTACTATACAGCACTTTAAACAAGAGAATGCAACTTGCCTCTCTCTGGGCAGGATCATCAGCTGGTATAAACTGGCCTAATTCTATTGATTTCAACAAGGCTACACTGATTTAGACCAGCTGGGGATCTGGCCCCCCCCCCCCCCCCCAAACTCTTTTCCTTTTCACTCAGGGTACATCTATACTACAGAGGCTATACCAATGTACCTATACTGGCATAACTTCCTGGTTTGCAGAATGTCACAACGGGCTGTTCCAGCAATTTCCAAGCCTTCTTCCCCAAACGTGTGTCAAGTCAGAAGAGGTGTCGACACTCACTCACCCTGCTTTGCAAAGCTCCGGTTTCTGCATTCTGCAGCCAAACAACGGTTGGGTGGAAAATGCCCGAACAGCTTCACGCCCCATGTTATTCTCAGAGCTGGACAGCCCCGGGATGCCAGAGAGCATGGCTGCAGCCAGCAGTGGCAGGAGCTAAGAGGCTTCAAACTAAAGCTTGTTATTTAAAGAAATCTACGGGATAAAGAGACATGGGCTAAAATCCACCAGTTCAGGGTGCCGGCTCAGCACTTAGGCATCACTTTCATCCTCAAAATAGGGTGGAAATGGCCTTAGCACTGACGAGGCCACAGGAAGCAAAGCAAAGAACCTACAGTGACCTCCAAGTAAGGAGACGGAAGCTCCATTGTGGATGGCCTTGCTGTTAAACAATATGCTCCCACAAACCAATACCATTTGCCATGGCCTGCCGACTCCCAGGACGGTCTCCAGAGGGCCTAGATCACAATGAGTTGCATCAGTCAAGGTCCCTCATGTATTTTCTCCTTCTTTCTCAAGGAGATGCACCTAATGAATACGAGCCGTTTTAACAGGGCACGCGGGGGGAACAGCAAGCTCTAGTGAGAGGCTCCCAAGGAAGCCAGCTGAGCTGCCCATAACCTGACGCTCCCATCACACCAGGCCCAAGGCTTCCCTGGGAATGGCCATGGAGGAATTCAGCAGCTAGCTCAGTTTCAGAGAGATATTGCACAGCTATAGAACCACAGAGACGTGCTGCTCCATTAGTCACTGGGCGAGGGTCAAGTCTAGTAGCCCATACCCAGGGCTTACTCGGGCAAGTCCTGGGAGTTGACCCTGGATATGAAGCTGCTGTCAGTGCTGCAGAGGGCCAGTGGTGTGGAGCACTGGGGATTCAGGAGGGACCCACCGCACAGAGGCGATGCCAAGTGGCCAGGGAGTGGGAGTTGCCCACCTCTGTGTGCCCTGCTCTTGCCAATGACAGGACAAGTTGATGTGACTGTCACCTGCAGGAAGGGAGCCAGCAGGATTGGCTTTGTGGCCTCCTTAGAACTAGGGTAGCTAAGAATGTGCCCTCGAGGGCGAGAGATGGGAGAGCGCGTGCTCCTTTTGCCCTCCATGACACCTTGCCAAAAGAGGGCTGTTAAGTGCCCCTGCTTGCTTCAATATTCAGCTGCCTCTTTGCTGAGACAGCCCTAGGGTTGCTATTGTTTGTGATGGAGATGCCCGGCCAGCAGGAACCGGCCTGAGACCCAACACACTCATTCCACACCGGGGCCACCAAACAGCGCTCTGAGATGTAGCTGCTTTTCTGTCCCAATGCAACAAGGCTGGGCTTGAACTGGGGGTGCTGGGGAGCTTCCTAGCCCATGACCTTGCACTTCGTACCCTGCTGGCCCCCACCGCAGCGCCTCGTGCAATCCGCCCCCCGCCCCATGCTGGGCGACACAGGGCTTGTGCAGCCCTTTGCATAAGAACAGGGTGGGAGGGGGAATGACCAGAGTGCTCAGTGCTCTGGCTTTTCGGGCGGCAGAACAGCCAACAGGTAGCCAGGCAAGGGCTTAAGACAAGGCTGAGCCCAAAGTCAGCGAGAACATTCGACTAAGGATGAGATCTTGTGATCACCGCTGCGTTAGAATGCAAGGTAACGGGGCCAGATTCTCAGCTGTTGTATGTCGGCATCACTCCATTAACTTCCAACGGATCCGCGCAGAATTACACCAGCGGCAGATCTGGCCTTGTTCCGGCAGCAGCTTAGCGCTCTGCCTGTCCTTTCCCCCATGCACCACTGTCTGTGGAACCTGCCTCATAGAAGACAAGATGGGTTCACTCCTCCTGCTTCCCCATGTGTCCTCAGCCAGATTCGTGGCCTCCAGCTTCCATGCGGGCTCCGGAGAGGCCCCATTGTTTCTGAAGTCCTTTAGCACTTAATCATAGCATCCGCAGCCAGCGGTGGACTGAAAAGAACATGCCCTACTTCTCAATACATCAGCCATGAGCTATCGGCTTGGCATCTGGGCTTCCAATACAGTACATTCCTCCTCGCTCAGCTTTCTCCTGTTTGGCAGCAGAATGGTCTTTAAAAAATGAGAGATAATTATCGGAAGTAATCATCGGTCTACGGCTGTGTTCTCTCCCCCGCAACCACCTGCTCACCCCTCTGCAGCTCTTTATTAATTAATGGCCCCAAATCTCATTTGGTTTCTCATGGTCATTGCACACGAAAAGGGTAATTTACTCTCCCTGGATCGGGTCATGAAATGTTAATGGGGCTTAACAGGAGTTTTCATAACTTCCCCTGCCCTCTCTCAGAGCGGCTGCATGCTAAGGGGCAGATTCTGTGCTGTGCCCCGTGGGAAGAGCAGTCCAGGCAGGGGGAGCTCCAGGGTAGCTTTATAACTCCGTGGTACCTCCCAGATCCTAGGCTGCTCCAGAGACATGCAGGTGACCTCTGCAGTAAGTTAGAGCAGCCCTCGGTCTTTAAGGCCTCCTTGCATGGCTGCCTGATGGCTGTTCTGCAGCCCAGAAGAGATGGAGCACAGAGCTCTCTGATCATTCCCCCGCGGCTTTTGCCGCGCCCCTAAGCTATGTCACTCCTGCACTGGGAGAATTCCCCAACATGCTGCAGTGGGGTGCAGAATCCGGCCTCAAGGAGCTGGCGCCATCAGTGGGTTGGCCCAGGGAATGAGACTTCACCTTATTTCGTACTGAATGCCACAATGCCCTTTAAGAGCCTGATCCTGTACAGTTTAATGTGATGAGGAACTTTTGCCACTGACTTCGATGGGAGCAAACTCTGGTTCGGAAAGACGCCTTGAGCTTTTACAAAAGGCACAATGTAAGGCCAGAGAATGCAGCTCACTGTTTCACAGCTAAGACTCAGAGACCAGAGAGGAACATTATCGTACTCAGCAATTTGAGCACCTGCTGTGTAGTGATTTTTAAAATATTACAAAACCAGGATTAAAACCATAGCATCAGAATGTGTCTCTTGTACCAGATCTTTCCCATTTATAGGAATGAGACAGGGTCTGAGGTGCTCATTGGCCTTGCAGGACTCAATGTTCTCTAGACACTCTGCATCGCTTCCCATCTCACCCCGGAGGCATCAGACATGACCCTTGTTTTTAGCTTTGTGCTTAAACACCCACTGGAATCTGGCAGCTTCTTTCCAAGTTCCCTGTTTCATTTTTGTTTCTGTCAGAGCCCTTCAAGGGCTGGGAAAGCCTGTTTCCCACCTCTTCCTGACCCTCTCCAGGAAAAAACACAACAATAAAACTCCCCCATTAAAAAGAACAAGAAGAGCTTTTAATAAGGTATTTTGTCCAGAGTGATTCCTGAGAGCTACACATACAGGGTATGTCTACACTGCGGCCAGGAGGTGTGACTGCAGCATGTGTAGACATACCTGAACTGGTTTTGATCTAGCGGACGTGAGCTAAAGGAATAAGTCCTCTCCCTCCAAACTGTAGTAGGCTCCTACCCTGTATGGAGCAGCCATCAGAATGGGGACATATTAACACTCTGAGCAATGTGTTAACAGCAGCATGTCCTTCTAATGGGACAAGGGTGCAATGTTATCTCAGATGTGCTTTTTAATCTACATACAATTTCACTCTCATGAGGACCTGACAAAAGAGTAAATCAACAACTTGCACAACCATCTGGCTTGGGAAATTCAGTCATTCCAGCGTAGCTCATGGGAAGGTGAGAATCTCCGCCAGATCTGTCTGACTGAGAGCAATTTGGATTTTGGGGTCAATTGGTAGCAGGATCTATTGGCTCCAAGCTTCTTCCGTCACACAATAAAAGAGCATGTCCAGTCCAGGTGGCTCTTGGCTTGGAGAGACTGCAGATTAGTGTCTGTGCAATGACAGCCAGCTGCCCAGGGATCCGGGTGTCTATAGCAGGTGACCTTATCTCCACTAGCTGTTGGAAACTCTTCCAGGTCACACCAAGGAGCTGGCGTCTCCTAGTTTCTGGAATAGCTGCAACAATGACAATTCATTAGCAGCAGTAATAAACTCCAGCGTGCTGTACAATGGGCTGAACATAACAGTGACTCTTGCTTTGCAGCACAACTGTGCCTGTATTTCCCTTAGAGATTCAGCAAGGGCACCCACGGGCAGGCTTCCGGCTTCCCAGCTTGTTGCCTTTCTTGGGTGGAGCCCCGCGTCTCTCCCTTCTGACTGAGGTATTCCCAGGCTGAGCGGTTCCCTGCCTTCACTGTGCTATTCCCAGGAAAAGACAGACTGCTTAAGCAGAACTCCTTGCTTCCTCTTCAGACACTAGAACAGTGTATCTGCCCGCAGGTAAGCTACCATACAGCTTGTGATGCAAGCTGATTTATCCTTAAGGTGAAAGCATGACAGAGAAAATTTATTAAAAACAAAAAGGAACCAACATACATGCTAATAAGCTTCCCAGAGATCACTCCAACGGGCTCTGGTGGCTAATTTGTCCTTCAAAACCCCATAAAGAGGGGCTCCTCTGTGGTCACAAGTTCAATTCAGCCTCAATTCAGAACTCGCACATTCAGGTAAAGTTTAGTCCATCTATTATACAGTTTAAGGGTCTTTGATCTCAAGTTTCCAGGAGCAAGTAACCACTAGAAAGGGGGGGGGGGGGGGAAAGAGTCTTGCTCCCCAGGACATAGCTTCAAAAAGCTGGTTTCCTAGGGGAGAATTTGCATTTCCTTCCTCTCAAATACTTTCCAGGATAGCCACATCAGAGAGATTGTCCTCCAAAGCCCTTTGAAGTTTCTAATACTTTCAGAGATTTAATTGGTCAGGCTTCTAGAGAAATTACGTACAATCCCACAATAATCCAGGCACAACTGCATTTTGAAGAAATGGACCACAAAGGTATTAAACTTAATTCAATAATATTTGTCCAGGACAGTGTCAGTCTCTCCCAGACTTGCCCCAGGACATAGAATCATAGAATATCAGGGTTGGAAGGGACCTCAGGAGGTCATCTAGTCCAACCCCCTGCTCAAAGCAGGACCAATCCCCAATTAAATCATCCCAGCCAGGGCTTTGTCACGCCTGATCTTAAAAACTTCTAAGGAAGGAGATTCAACCACCTCCCTAGGTAACGCATTCCAGTATTTCACCACCCTCCTAGTGAAAAAGTTTTTCCTAATATCCAACCTAAACCTCCCCCACTGCAACTTGAGACCATTACTCCTTGTCCTGTCATCTTCTACCACTGAGAATAGTCTAGAACCATCCTCTTTGGAACCACCTCTCAGGTAGTTGAAAGCAGCTATCAAAGTTGGTTGGCATTGTAACAAGGAATGACCAGTTGAAGTCCTGATGCTATTTGCTATTGAGTACAATCCGTCTCCTCAGCAACTCTGTATTCACAGTTTAAGACTTTTTTCTACACAGAAGATACAGTCCAGACCTCTGGCAAACAGATACACATTGTTGCCTATGAATTAGTGCTGGTCAAAACTGTTCCTGTTGGTGACATTTCAACAAAAATTGTCAAATATTTTTCACAATTTTTTGACCAATTCTAATATCAATGAGAGTCTAGAGTTGAATGTGGACAAGGCAAAAACTATGGTGATATGCAAGGATCCTGGGAAAACACGCAAGATTCCAGCGAGTGACACAGCTGTACAACACGTGAGAAATTACTGTTACTTAGGAAGCATCATTACAGAAGACGGAAGATCAGCTAACGAAGTCGGCAGCAGAATAGCAGGAGAAAAAGAGACGTTCTGGAAGAATTAACATCGGATGAGAAGGAACATCAAATCTGAAGACTTTTTAAAATCCCAACTCTTAAAAACTTGCACTTGGTCTGTGTTAAATTATGTCTGCGAGACACAGACATTCAAACAATTCAAGTGTAACTGAGGGCAGAAATGAAACTGCCTTTTTTGACCAGATTTTCCTCCCCCTTTCACCTGTAAATCGGGAGTGACTCATTTGAAATCACATCAAACGAGATGTGAAGCCAGTGTGAGAGGAGAATGGGCCAAATTCTCAGGAGGTGTAAATCTGTGAAGCTTTGGAAATGTCAATAAAGATCTGTCGATTTACACCAGTTCAGAATTTGGTCCAGTATCCTTACTGGGATCTTCTGCCAGTACCTTGCAAAACCAAAGCCCCCGACTCTGCACGAAATCCAACCCCAAAGCCCTGCTTACCTTGCTCAGCAGTGGAATATTTCCCAAAGCTCCCAGAAATCCAAAGATGACTGGGAAAAAATTCCTGGAGCAAAACAAAGATCATTGTTAATCACTTGGTGGAAGCCGAGGAAGGCTGATTTAGGGTCGGGGAAGGATTTTCCCCATGATCTATAACTGGGTAAAGTAAACCCAGGTCTAAAAAGTTCCTGTGAGCTTTCACTAGCTGGGAAATATTGTCCCATCCAGCTGCTTGCCAGGTTTTCCCTGTTGTTGCCAGCACACAAGCGGCCATGTGCATTTGGTACGGATATGGGGCCTGGTAGAATTTCTTTTGGCTCACAGTGTTTGAAATCAGAGCCTTGCAAACAACAAGGGAGTTGATCCTGTGACATTTGTGTGGCTTTCTGGGGAGCTTTGGATGCTTGCTAAGGAATTCCTTAGGGGAATGAGAATGGGGTTTCCTTGATAGCCTCTTGCACCCACAATGCTCCACACCTATGGAGTTTTGCCAGTTACCCTAGCAAGGGTATTGGCAAAGGCCAAAACTAAAGGCATTTAGAGAACAAGTCACCTGAAGAGGGTGATGAAGCCATAGGTCTCCAGCAACATACCCAGAAGAGGCCATCTCAGGAGCACAATGAGAATGCCTCCCAGGAAGAAGCTGGTGCCCTTTAGCTTTTCCTTCTGGAAGAAGAAGCTGAAAGTCCTTCTCAGTCCGATGATGATGGCCAAGCCAGAAAGGAACAGGAGCTAAGCGGAGGAAATGGAGTTGCACAGGACTTGTTAGAGGACAGAAGGTCTACACATTCCCTTCTTTCATTCCCAGTCGGGCGTCGACTTTAGCTCCTCTTTCCTGTGTGCATCAAAGAGAACCCTTGTCTATCCCATCAGCTGACATGGGCATCCCCCTCTCCCATCACCCAGGCACCATCCATCAAGTTAACGCAGCAGCCTACTTGCCTGCTTTTGCAATCCATGTAACCCTTACAAAGGACAATGCATATAAGCCACAGAAGGCTTAGTTCCACCATAGCAGCTCCAGGAGAAAGCCGCTGTAATAAAGCAGTAACGCAACAGGCTTGCATTTCTGGCCTAAGTCCCACACAACAGAAATGCAGTAGATAAGAGAATGAAGGGCTAAATTCTGCTCTCAGTTATAATAATACCTAGGTCTTACACAGCACTTTGCATTAGTAGATATCAAAGGAGGTCAGTATCATTACCCCACTGTAGTTGTTACAGTTTCACCAGTACAGCCCCACTAGGATCGCACTGACTGCGGTAGAATTCCGATGCCAGCTGATCCCCTCAGTGTTAGAAGGAAACATCTCTGATATATCATGAGAATGAAACCGTGTTCATGTTACAGGGCTCGTCTATGTGGAGAGTTATTCCAGAATAGCTATTCCTCATTAACTCTTCCTAATTCATGCCATGCACTGATGCTCTTATCCCAGAGTAAGAGTGCCTTATTTCAAATTAGTTTAATCCACTCTGGAAATGGATTAAACTGCTTTGGAATAAAAGCATCCATCCATGGAGTTAATCAGGAATAGATAATCCACTTTAAATTTACACCCTACCTGAATCTGAATGAACTTCCACGTGTAGACAAGCCCTTAGTTCTTTTTATTTGTAAATTCAAGACAACTTTTAGAAGGACTTTAGTGCCTGGGAGGAGAGGTGCTGGGCTGACTTCCCTGGAGACTGAACTGCTCGGTTTACCGCCCACAGGTATGGGCTGCACCATACGAGAGTCCCCCACACCATGTGTCTCAACCCTGATTGGGAAGGAGCATCCCCCATAGGGAGATAATAGTTTAGTCTCCATGTGATTAGATTCTTGGCTTCTCTTTCAAGGTTGCCTACAAGGGGATCAGTTAGCACCAGTTGTGGTGAGTGTAAGGATGGGGACACCAGTACAGCTGGACTGAAACCCAGCAAGTTTATGTCACACAAACCTGAGTGGGATTTGAACAGAGACTAGCCCTGTTCCTCTCATAATAGGAAGCTGTACAGGGCCAAAGGGCTAGCATGCTTCACCATGGGAGCCGTGACTGTTTGCAGAGGGTTTGTGGTGTCTGGGCCCCTGTCCTAGTGCTATATTTTGCCCTCAGGAGTGGCAAGGAAGGGGGTCAAGGTTTTGAGGTACTCACGTTTCCAAAGGCCAGCAGTACTGAGTCAAAGTACAAGAGCACCCCAAAAAAGATGAAAAATAGGCCAAAGCCCACAAGACCGACACCAATCTCTGCAACAGATGGAGGGTCAGCAATTAGGAGCACAGCAGCCAGATGTAGTTACTACGAAGGAAGTGTTGGATGGTGCCAGCTTAGGTCACCAAATCCTCCCCTGTGGTTCCTCTTTGCATCACCACCTCAGCAAGGAAGTTTAATTTGTGGGTTGCGTCAAATATTTAGAAACACGTCAAGACAATTTCTATCTATTGTAGGTTTTTGAGAGCTCACCCATCACCCTGGACTCGGAGCGCCTCTCTCCCCACATGTATCTAGGGAGAAGGAGACAGTCTGATGTTAAACCAGCTGGAACTAGGAAAATGATTTCCTGAAAAGATGTGAAGTGGTTTCCATATGGCAGGGGTCACCTCCTAATCCCCACCCTCTTCAAAATGGAGCTGATCCAAAGCTCTGGACTCACTAAGTCTTCCCATTGCCTTGAGTGGGCTTTGGGTCAGGCCCAGGGCTCTCCAACTTATTTATCAGCCAAACAGTAGCTAAGGTTGGGATGTCGTGGGGGTTTAGAGCAATGAGAAGCTGATCTGAAAACCCAGGAGGCACCAGCAAACCTTGTGTGTGTCAGGGCATGAGTTACTCACTTATTGTCTTCTGCAGGGAGATTTGGCGCTCACTAACAGTGCTGAGAGAAGGTCAGGTTCAGCAAACCTCCAACACACCCAGCTCTGCCAATGGCTCTCACCCATAACCCCCCTCTGCAATTCCAGTCCTGAACTCCCCACACACCCCCCAGCTGTGCCAATGCCCCATAGTCCTGACCCACAGCCCCCTCCCTCTGCTATTCCAGGCCTGAGCTCTCCCCAAACACCCCCACCTGTGCCAATGCCCCATAGTCCTGACCCACAGCCCCCCCACACTATTCCAGGCCTGAGCTCCCCCCAAACACCCCCACCTGTGCCAATGCCCCATAGTCCTGACCCACAGCCCCCCCACTATTCCAGGCCTGAGCTCCCCCCAAACACCCCCACCTGTGCCAATGCCCCATAGTCCTGACCCACAGCCCCCCCCTCTGCTATTCCAGGCCTGAGCTCCCCCCAAACACCCCCACCTGTGCCAATGCCCCATAGTCCTGACCCACAGCCCCCCTCTGCTATTCCAGGCCTGAGCTCCCCCCAAACACCCCCACCTGTGCCAATGCCCCATAGTCCTGACCCACAGCCCCCCCTGCTATTCCAGGCCTGAGCTCCCCCCAAACACCCCCACCTGTGCTAATGCCCCATAGTCCTGACCCACAGCCCCTCTCTGCTATTCCAGTCCTGAGCTCCCCCCAAACACTCCCACCTGTGCCAATGCCCCATAGTCCTGACCCACAGCCCCCCCTGCTATTCCAGTCCTGAGCTCCCCCCAAACACTCCCACCTGTGCCAATGCCCCATAGTCCTGACCCACAGCCCCCCTCTGCTATTCCAGTCCTGAGCTCCCCCCAAACACCCCCACCTGTGCCAATGCCCCATAGTCCTGACCCACAGCCCCCTCCCTCTGCTATTCCAGGCCTGAGCTCTCCCCAAACACCCCCACCTGTGCCAATGCCCCATAGTCCTGACCCACAGCCCCCCCCCACTATTCCAGGCCTGAGCTCCCCCAAACACCCCCACCTGTGCCAATGCCCATAGTCCTGACCCACAGCCCCCCCTCTGCTATTCCAGGCCTGACTCCCCCAAACACCCCCACCTGTGCCAATGCCCCATAGTCCTGACCCACAGCCCCCCCTCTGCTATTCCAGGCCTGAGCTCCCCCAAACACCCCCACCTGTGCCAATGCCCCATAGTCCTGACCCACAGCCCCCTCCTATTCCAGGCCTGAGCTCCCCCAAACACCCCCACCTGTGCCAATGCCCCATAGTCCTGACCCACAGCCCCCCTTTGCTATTCCAGTCCTGAGCTCCCCCCAAACACCCCCACCTGTGCCAATGCCCCATAGTCCTGACCCACAGCCCCCCCTGCTATTCCAGTCCTGAGCTCCCCCCAAACACCCCCACCTGTGCCAATGCCCCATAGTCCTGACCCACAGCCCCCCTCTGCTATTCCAGTCCTGAGCTCCCCCCAAACACCCCCACCTGTGCCAATGCCCCATAGTCCTGACCCACAGCCCCCTCTGCTATTCCAGTCCTGAGCTCCCCCCAAACACCCCCACCTGTGCCAATGCCCCATAGTCCTGACCCACAGCCCCCCTCTGCTATTCCAGTCCTGAGCTTTCCCCCACTAGCTCTGCCAGCGCCTCTCCATCCTGACCCACAGCCCACTGCTATGCCAGTCCTGGGCTCCCCCACTCCAAACCTCAAGAACTGCCAGCTCACCCTTGATCTACACCCCCCGGCCTTGGCATTGTAGACCCAGACCTCATCTGAGCAGACGCTGCCAGTTGTGGTGAGTTAGGGGTTCTGCAGAACCACGAAATCCATGTTTCCCTCTTCTGTGGAATGGTGTTTCTGTGGTGTTGACAAACAGCCATCAAGGTTTGCAGGGACAGTACCAGACTCAGGGTCTTTGGGGCAGGGGCAGGACAGTAGTTCAGTTTGCCTCTGACACTCCCTGATCTGCTGTGACCGGTGCTGACAGAGCAACCTCCAGCTCCAGCCCAGACTTGGCTCTGAGCTCCGGCCATGGCAGCATCGCACACTGGACGGAGCAGATAAGCCTCAGCCTCTGAGCCAGGCTGTTCTCCAGGTTCACCGAGTATCACTGATGAGTTAACAACCAACCCCCCTGAGGCTGCCTCCTTTACTCACTCTGAAACTCCGTGAGAGACACCATCTTTCCTGGCATAAGCCTGGAGTGAAACAAGGTGTGTGTGGAGAGGGGTGTGGTGGGGAGGGGGGCGGACCCACAGCTTCCACGAGCTCCCAACCTGTGACCCTTGGAAAGGTCTTTAATCCCTACCTCATCATGCTGCAAATCATTAACTCCCCAGCAGTGGCAATCACCTTAAAAGACCCAGCTGTAAATGTGGCGCTCATCACCGTTAGGTCCCCGCTCTGAAACCAGCACAGGCCTGTGGTCACTTACCTGGAGCGTCTTCTGCATAAAGTACCCCAGGGGATTCTGCCACCACTGTTACCTGGGAGAGCAGAGTTCTGTATTGCCCCCCTCTGTTGTTCCTACTTCCCAGAGACCTCTATTAATGGCCCATTCTTGCCTAGCAAGGGCCTGATTCAAATCTGACCTACACCATTGTAAATGAGGACGAAAGAAGAGAATTTGCAAGGCCTGAGTCTCCCCTGCTTTGTATTGTTTTTAGTGCCCAGGAGCTCTAACTGTGGTCCTGCTTTGAGCAAGGGATTGGACTCGATGACCTCCTGAGGTCTCTTCCAACCTTAATATTCTATGATTCTGTGTGCTAGGCACTGTACAGACAGAACAAAAAGACAGCCTCCGCCCCAGAGAGCTGGCGCTTCTCCGGGACCGGGCTTGTGCTTCTGAGCCACATAAGCTTTGCTGCCTCTAATTCTAATTAGCATGTGGCTAATTTCTTTTCCACCAGAAAACTGCCCCATTGCCAGACCCCAAATCTGCTACCAATTGATCCAAGGAGCAGCAATGTCTACCTCATGCACACATCCCGCTGGGTTAAACCTTACCCCGTGACTCAGCTGTGGCAGGATTCTCTATTCTACTGCACAGCCTTGCTCCAGAACAGAGCGCGCTCATTCCATATGCAAGTCCCCGTTTGAATAGCAAGTGGAGAATCTTTATTGTACGAGGCTAAGTACACAGCCAGGCACATCTGTTGCCATCTGTCTGATGCAGGGAGCATGCTCTGGCGTGCCGTACACCTGATTCACCAGACATGGGCTCCAGCCATCACATGCAGGAGGGATCGTTTGTGAGAATTTAATTATTCATCAGCAATTGGTCTCTTTTTCTGTCTGTGAAACATTCGCAAGGAGGTTGGGAAATGCTCAGACGCGTTTGCTATTCACAATTGTCCCTCTATAGGTCTATTTCTGCCCCATGTACTTACATTGAGCAGTCCCATCCCACCCTACTGCTTTCTGGAGTTGGGTTGTACCCTCAGAGCATCCTGATGAGTATGGATTTGCTCCCCACTGAACCTGTAGTTAGCTCTTACCCTTCAAGAATCCCCATTAAGCCATGGATTGCATACTCACCTTTTCATTATTAATTGCCTCTCATGGGCAGCAGAGTTGGAAGTCCCCTGCTTGAGTTTCCCTCTTTGGAAATGATGCTGGAGCCAAGGGACTTGTGGGATTTGCTCTGGAGTTTCCACAAAGGATAGTGGGAGTTTGGCCTCTCCTCCCATAGTTCCCTCGGGTGGCCATCTGGATTCCCACAAGGTCCATCAAAATCACCCAGAAGGCATTGCTACGGAGCTGTGTACGTGGAACTCTAGGATAACCATCCCAGAGGGCAGTGCAGCTGAGCTGGTGTAGAAGTGGGATATAGTCTTCAATTACATGGTCATATACTATTTTTCCCATAGGGCCCCTCTTTGGAGTCTTTGGAGAATTTACCTGCCAAACTCCAACATATCTCTATCTCCACTGAGCATGTGTGAACTGAGATTTTCAGAGGCTCATAACTTGGGCAAATTTGGGTGAAATTTCACATGGATGGTAAAAGACACATCCCCTGCTCCATGGCGACCTGCACCCCAAATTTCAAGTCCTTCATTCAAAGTATGGTGGTGCTAGAATTTTGTTTTTAAAACATTGGCAAAGCAATGTATTCCCCCCTAGCCTCATTCCTTGAAATGGCCAAACTCTTTAAGCTGAAACTTTAAAACAATAATCAGCTTGGGGTAGACAGTCATTATGCAAAATTTCAGCCTGAATGGTTAGTTTGGCAAAGCTATACTCAACTCAAACAAGGTCTTACAACAGATATTATGATCTGTTCCAATGATAATAAAGGACCCACAACTCAAGTCAACATCAACGGAAGCTGCAGCACCTCTGAAAATCGTTCCCCTAAATATATCCAAGCATGTCCGTCCCCTAGCTATAGTCGCAAGAAGGACAAGCTCAACAAATGATCTATTTACAAACCAGCAATTTTTATTTTATACAAACTTGCAAAGTACAAATGCATTTTTTTTCCTTGTGTGAGATTGGATCTTTTAGTAGCTACATCTAAAACAAATGCTGTTGGGAAAATTACAAAGCAAACTACCACTGATTTAATTACTGGGAAGATTGGTGTGAAGAATTCAAGCTGCTGAAATGTGACAGCCATTTGACCATGGTCTCTTCGATCTAATGTTATAGTAGTTGTCATCTAAGGTCACTTTTATACAGAAAGAAAGACACCAACATCACATTGTTTCTTGGATAGTTTTATTTGCCTAACACTAGCAAAAATCAATTTTTTGCCACTCCTCCCACCCCACGCCCCCAAAATAATGTGCATAAATAGATCTTTTTTTGATGCAAACAGGTTTTTTTTGTTTTGTTTTGTTTTTTTAACAAGAGTCGCTGGTATATGAAGGTGTTATGAAAAAATAACCAAAATAAAATTAAAAATTAAAATAATTAAAAACAGTTCCACAATACTGCAATATTGTGATCCTCAGCCATGCCACCAAGAACTCACAACTTGTAACTTAGGAAACTCTTAAAGTGACAGTAGCAGGGATTGGTCACAGACACTACGTTGTTATTCGCTTAGTGGGGAGGTTTCCTCGCTGTCCCCTCTACATCTGCTAGGTCATGCCTTAATGCCAGGAAGGTTCTTCTAGGAGCTCCCTGTGTCCTTCGTGGGAATCCCTATACCTTTCAAGGATGCTTACCAGTGGGGTTGCCTTGCTCCCCCACCCCTTCCCTTAAATGTACAATACCCTCCCCTAGGAACCATGTTGTTGGAGCTGAGATGCAGGAGAGCCCTCTTCATGATGGGAGACTGGACTGACTGGAGAGTCAAGGGGGAGCCCGTTTGGGGGCTGACACACTGGTGGGAACTCCAGGTTGTCTCTTGGTTCCATCCATGACGCAAAGGCCACTAATGTCAGTGAGAGTCTTTCCATTGATGTTGGTGGGTTTTCAATTGGGCCGCTAGAAACAATCCTCCTGACCATCCACCTCTCTCCTGCCTCTGCTCAGCTCCTGCACCCCAGTTTGGTCCTGGGGGTTCTCCTACCTTGGCTGCATTTTTCTCAGTTCAGCCACCCCATTTTACGTCTGGGGACACATCCACCATGCAGAGACCATCCTCCCCGGGGGCCTATGCCCTTGGGTATACATTTCGGGTGTGTTGGTGAGGTTAGCAGCTAGGCTACCGATAGCCCTCTGCACTAGTCACACCATCACAGAGAAACCATTCACAAAAACAAAAGGGAGGTAAAAATGTAACATTGAAACTCAAGATTAAAAATTCCACATACAGTCACAAGGATCCATGATTGACAGCTGTGTACCAGCAAGACATCCTCTGCAATCCCCAAGAGGGTACAGTCCTATATGTCTTTACATACTGTGCCTCGTGGACCAGCTTTTCAGCATCTGCAAATCAGCCTCGCTCTAATGACTTCAGAACTATGCCAGTTTACACCAGCTGAGGACCTGGCCGTATACAGAGCACTACCTATTCAGTAACAGGGAAATAAATGCATCATTTCTCAAAACTTACAGTTTTTATATTTTATTTTAAATAAATTTGCTTTTAATAAAAGCAGAAAATATATATATGTATATTTAAATAGGTCTTTTTTTTTTCTGATGAACTGGCAAAGAATCTCCATTTGTAACTTTCCAGCGGGGCTGATGCCAACAGCCCAGCAGAAAGAGAGAGAAAGTTAGCATAAAACAGTACCACCCGGAAAAGGAGAGAAAAACAAATATATATATATATATTATATAAATGTATAATTTCCATAAAACATATATTAAGGCATGTATAGCAAAATAAAGGGCCAGCTTCATGAGCTAACAGGGGCTGTTTGGGATTCCATTATGGGAGCAGGACTGTTTTATCCCCAGGGATGTTCTATGTATTGCTAAAAGAAAAAAGAAAAAGAAAAAGAAAAAGAAAGAAAGATTGATTCATAGATCTGATTCTGGGGAAAGTTCTGTCTCCTGGGACGTTTTGTGTATTGCCAAAATTAAAAATAGATAGACAGATAATCTAGGGAGATGCTAGATAGATCCCATTGGGCAGAGAGGATCTGTTTCCTTGGATTTTATGTGTATTGCCAAACTAGAAAGAAAAATTGATTCACAGGCTACAGCAGGCAGGCAGCCAGCTCCCATTTCACTCAACTGGTGGCATGGCTGGGAAGAAGTAGAAATCTTGTTAGATGCTGAGCATCTGCACCTTCTCTAGATTTCATCTGGAGATGTGGGTTCTCAGCACCAATCAGGATCAGGCCAATGGAGAAAGAAAGCTAAGCAATAGATTGAGCTTGATTGTGCATCTACATCACATTGCCTTTTTCAGAACTATCCCCTGGAGTTTCAAGTGCTGGGACAAGACAGTTCTTCATCCATGTAGTGAATTGACAAAGCCCCAGTCTCTAGTATAAGGTACAGAGCTTGATTGTCCACTCCTACGCTCTGCTCTGAATTCAGTTTGTCTTCGTTTGAGTTAATCCTGACTTGCACCAGTGTAGGTAAGAGCAGAATCAGGTGCAGAAGTCCAATACTGACCGATGTTAGAACAGGGCATCTAACTGTATTGGAAAGTCCATAGGAAGAGGGGCTCTTGTCAGAGGAGCTCAGATAATATTCACAGCAACACTGGGACAGCTTGACACTTGGGGCTTTTCTATTTCAGGTCAGTTTCCTTACACCAGATCATTTTGCATACAGCCAGCAACATTTCACAGCTTTGCGCTTGAAAAAGTAGATTTTGGAGTGCAAAAGCAAGCCCATATTGAACCCAGATTGGTCTTGTTTTTGAGCGTAGGCTTCAATTTCTGATCTGGGAATTTTAAAATTCCATTCTATCAAAAAACTGAAATTTCAAAAGAATTCATCTCCCACTTAAGCACCAAAATAAGTGGCCAGATTTTCAGTGCTGTTTTGAAAATCTGCCCATCAATATCACAGCGGGAGCTGCTGGGTGTGGGCACTTTTTAAAAAATCTTGCCCGTGTTTAGATGCCTAAATGCGAGCTGAGTATTTGCAAATCCACTCCGTGGTGGAAAATATATTTGCATCTGCATGCAGCCCTAATTTTGAGAAGGGACAAGGAAACCAACTTGGACAGATATAAGAAACCTCCTTCCTCCAAACCATTGCTTGAACTGAGCTGAGGTCTAGATGGACCTTCTCACTTCCCGTTGGGAAGCAGCAGTGCTGAAATAATGCTAGATTCTGCAGACCCCGATGGTTCAGGTAGTTCTGACAAGCTTCAGAAGAACCGACAATCTCTTGGATGCTTCTCTGAACTATGTCTCTTCCATCACCCCCGATACGTCCCCCTGCGATGATGATTCTCTCAATGTATTCAGAAAACTATGAAGCCACATCTGGAAGAGCAGGCTCATCTCATAAGGTACTGCAGGAACGGAGAACGTGGAAGAGAGACCATGCAGCAGTGACTCAGCACCATGCACACCTGATCTCACTCACTCCAAAAAGTCAGAGGAACTATTCTAGCTCGCTGTTCTTCAGGAGAAAAGAACTTCTGGGGCATGCTTGTCTCAGTGCAGTGAGTTAGGAGTGTCAGTTGCCTGCGTGCCGTTCCAGATGCAAGTATAGCAGGGAGCCATAGAAGTTAGAGATGGGTATCTCGCCCCTTTCCCTAAGCCCAGAGCAGGATTATTCTCTATGCAGGGATTGCCAGACCAGGGGGCCATCCAGTGCAAGATCCCATGTCTCCAGTAGCAGCTGCTTCAGAGAAAGGTGCAACAACCCAGCAGTGAGCGATTATGTAATCACCTGTCCATGGGGAAGCTTCTCCCTTGTCCCATCCATAAGAAGTTGGCTTCTAGCCTGAAAACAGAAGGGATTAGGTCCCCTCCCAGCTATGCTCCTATTCCCTTGGGCCTCACAGCTCTGGTGTCCCCTCCATTTTGGGGGCAAGGCAGTGCTTTCCAGATGGAGGCAAGAGACAGTGACAGCATCGACATAGTACCTGCCAAAACCACTGCAGGGAAAGCCCGTCTAGGTCCACTCTAGGCCATTCAGAATTAGATACCAAGGGTTAGATGGGGCACTCAGATCCAAGGTGATAAGATGCCCTAGAAATGCCACAGACAGCGAGACAGTGCTGTTCCTTCAGCCATTTCTCCAGTATTTTGCCCAATCTAGTATTAAGTATGTGGGCAGCAGCCCTCGATTTCACCCCACTCCCATCCCCATAAAAATGCAAGAAATGAGCATTGCACTGGGTAAAACAAAACTCTGAGGAAGGGCACCTGTTGCTACCATCCAGAACCTGCTCTGGTCCAAGAAAAAAAAATATCCTGAAGCCTGTCCCCCTTTCTCCTCATTGTCTCTATGTGCAAACAGATCCCTCCTGGCCTCAGAAAGCATCAAGACTTCGCCTGGTCACCAACACCAGCCACTTGGGCTCTCCTAGCCCCGTCCCCCTGTATCGTTCAGCTAATTCCCTTACTACATGTCCGCATACATTGCACAGACCTGCTGTTCCACACCACCCTTCGCCCTGGGAGGGGAAACACTAGTATTTCACAGATATAGCTATATCCTAATTTTGCAGATCCCATCACCTCTCCCATTTTCTGCCCAGGAGCCTTTTCCCTCCTTGGCTCCTGTTTCCATCTGTCCATCCCAGATGCCCACTCCTTCCCTCCGTGGATGCTCATGCGTGTGAGTGGAGAAATGTGGCTGGGCACAAGTGGCTAGCTCCAGAGATTAAAGATGCTAGTAGCCGTTCCAGGCCAAGGCCTGGGGAGGTGGAAGGTGCACAGAGAATGGAAATGGGGTGCTCACGTCAGTGGAGGGCAAGAGCAAGCTCCAACTGCAGCGACGGCTCGGTCCCCATGCAAAAGCCCCTTCAGGACACGAACTTTGGGAGACAAATATTTCAGTGCAGGAAGCAAAGGGAAAACCCCCCAGCCTCCAGTGCGACGCCATCCCCTCCATGAGATATTCCGGCCATGGAACAGACTGGTGGGTAGCTGTCAGATGCCCTGCCCTGAAGTTCACGCCGGCTGTGGAGTGGGCCCATCTCCCAGACTGCAATACATCTCACACAAAACATCCATCATTGCAGGAGCAGTGATTTACCAGCGCCTCTCTGCCGCTCTGTGCTCCAGCAGGCAGCCCACCCATGGCACTTCCTCCCAGGATGGTACACGGCCAGTTGGGGGGACCAGTGCAAGGATAAGGCTCCCGTGTTCTCTTGGCGACAGGTGCCGACGCACACCATCTTCGTCCTGGACGATCTCACCGTTGGTTAGCGGCAGGGGTTCGGGGAGAACCAAAAGCGATGAGCGGGGAAAGATTTGGTTGTCGAGTCGGGACGCACATGTTTGTGTGTTAAAACGTGGCTCCGTGGAACTTCACGGCGTTCACAGCAGCCAGGGCTTGTGCTGGAGGGAAGAGAGGAGAGAGGAGAAGGAGTCAGAAAGCCGAGCCCTCCACCCGCCGGGAAGCGTGGCAGAACTGCACCTGCATCACGCCCCAGGGCAGGAACGCTCGGGAGCGAATGGGATTTTTGTCCACTCTTGAAAAAAATAAATGACCCTTGTTAGGCCTGGTCTGTACTGAGGATTCAACCCAGATACAGTCACCTCAAATGCTGCACAAGTGCAAAGCCAGGGTAAACAGAGGGATGCCCCAATCTCCACCCGTGCAAACCAGGGGGCTCTGCACCCCTGCAAACCACACTGTGCTGGGGTGAATTGTATCTATGCCAGGGGTGTGCAGTGCTGCTGCTTCACCAATGGCTAAAATCCCAGGGCAGAAAAGGCCGTTGTTCGGTAACTGGCCACTTTCACCAAAAAGAATTAGGGACATTTTGGAGGCACTCTAGTGCTGGTGACAGGAGCTGGGCCAACAGCCATGGAAAACAGGCTCCACTATTCATCCGCAGAGCAGGTCCAGCACAAGCAGCCTTTCCGCCTGCACTGCCCTGCTGATGGGCCTCGGCCCAGCCCCGGAGGGCTGTCCCCCAGGGATGGGAGGAGAATTCAGTTTCCATGGCCATTTAGTCCCTAGCATCTCTGCTGAGGCTGCTGACAAGGCAGTGCCAGCTTGGTGCTGTGTGTCCACTAGAACCTGCACTGAGAGCCACCAATCTCATCTCACACAGGCCAACACACAGCCACCAGATTGTAACAGCTTCCAGTGACTCACTACTGACCTGGCCTGGATTTGAACCTGCTACCTAGAGGCAAAGGGTTTCTGGAGCTCATGCTCATCCTGTCTCCTTGGTTTATGGCCATCATTCCCAATGTCGGTTATTTACATGGCTTTGTCTATGCAGTGAACGGAACCAGTCTCTCTCGGTGCAGGATGTGTCGTTTTTCTTGCCTGTTTTCTCCTCTAATTTGCACCCTTGGATTTCAGCTGGGGTCACTTCTAATTTACAGTGGATCTAAGTGAGGCGAGAATTTGGCCCACAACATCAGCTTATTCCATTCAATGCATGGCCAAAGTAGGCTATAAGGAATGGCTTTGGCGTAGCCAGGACCCACTTAGTCCTGGAATGGGCAGAAACCACATGCTCCCATCCAGCTGCATTCTACCAAGTAACCGAACCCTTAGTACAACTTAGCTACACCATTAGCTTTTCCTTTGTGCCCAGAAATCCTGGAAAAGACTCTTGATCCTGAAGAGGGATGGGGCCAGCTCCTCCACCGGTGGAAAGCAGTGTAGCTCGGTGGATAAAAATGAATGATTTTAAAAATGGACTTTTTTAAAATTTAAATCAATTTTTAAAAAATTTAAATTCAATACATCATTCTTTTTAAAAATAAATGTATTTAAAATTAAAAGTGAAATTATGACAACCTACGTTCAGGCCTAAACTTACTATAGACGATTCAAATAATTTAAATTTACTTAAAAAAAATATAATATTCAAGCAGTGCATGTTTACTGCCGAAGTTTTAGAGAAAGTCAAAGCACTGAACTGGTCAAAGTCACCGGCTAAGCAGCTGGAACCTGACATGCAAAACTAGCTTTTGACAGCACTAGTCTCTTCTCCAGGTGCAGAGAGTATTTTCTTCAGTTCAGTTTCTTCAGTTCAATGACTATGCATTCAAAGCCGAGAAATCAACGAGGAATTGAAACAACATGCAACATTGCTCTCCTCTTCCAGCTGTGACTGAAAACAAGGTGTAAGAGGATCAGATCTACTAATTCTAAAATCATGATGGACAGGGTGACCAGAAGCAATCAGGGCTATTCACTAACTACAGATGATGCTTCCTTTGTTTATCAAAACATGTTTTGCATTTAAAATTGATTTATTCAACTTTTATTCCTTATGTATTCAGCACATTTAAGGTACTTTTATTTAACTAATTAAAACATTTTAAAATGTTCTTCTTGTGGCTTTTAAATTGAATTCTAATTTTCATCCAATTAGGTTGGCACAAATCATGAGTAAAAATGAATCATAATCTAGTACATAAGAAATGCATCATTCCCATTTCCTAACACCATAAAAAGCTACAATTCAGAATAAACATATGGTAAGCAATATAACTGCTTAAATAAATGTGTATGGACATAGTGTAACATCCTGGTTAGCAAAAAGAAGTACCAAATTGTACCAACCAATGAGAATCAACTTTATAATAAGTAAATAACTGAAAAGTATAAATGCAAAACAAAAATTAAAATTGGTTATTTAAATCAAGGCTTGTTGATTTTAAATCACTGTGATTTAAATCAATCCACCTGCAGGGCAGTTCTATTGACTTTAGTGGAGCTATGCCAGTTTATCCTAGTGGAGGATCTGACCCAGGAACTCGAAACAAGGTCCGGGACCCTCAGTGTTTCAAGCTCTAAGCCCCTTGTGCTCGTTCCATGGGAAGAGACTGGGCTAACGTGGCAGAGGAGAGTGTTAGCTTGGTGAGAAGCAATGTATGAATGGATGGGAAGAGGAGACTCTTGAATGAGGTTCTTCCCATCGCCCCAGGACGCTGAGATGTACACAGGATGAGATGAAGTACAATAGAAAAGGTGCTTACTTCATGGCTCAAACACGCATAAAATGGCTGCTGTCGACGACCCGGGATGACTCAGACGAGAGGGGGTTTGTCGGTGGAGTCGGGGAGGCTGGGGAAGTGGGAGGACTCGGGGTGGCACATTGAGCTGGAAACAAGAAATGGAAAAGGACGTGAAGAACACAGCGCTGCAGCCGGCAAGGGGAGAAAGGAAACAAAGCATGGAGCAAATTCCAGAGGAAGGCAGAGAGGTTAGAGACGACAGGGGAATATAAAAAAGGAAGGGAAGCGAGGTCAGAAACAACAGAGAGACACAAATGGTTCCCCCCCAGCACGCACACATGAGCTCCATGCTGGGATCCTCATGGACTAAGGCAAAGATGGGAGGCAGTGCCTGTCTGCAGGAAGACGGGCATGGGCCACAGCATGACACCCCCTCGCCAGTACAGCCTCCCACAATGCACTGCACACACCAGGGCTCAGGCGTTTCCTAGTCTACTCCAGAGCTGGGGCGAGACAGTGCAAAGCTTTTGACCAGAAAAGGATGGATTAATTTTGTGACAAGTTTTGCGAAAAACGTAGTTTTGACATTTTTTGACAGAGAAAAAGGGTTATATTTTTTCATAAGACTTCCCCCCAGACGCATCCCTTTCTTCAGCTGGTTCCCCTGCAGAACGCCACAGTTCCATCGAAGATCCTGGGAAACAGGCCCTTCCAGAGAGATGCCCAACCCAAGCCGCACCATCCAACATACACCATATTCTAGTCTGGTCTAGCGACATACACAGCTCCCATTACTGTAGTATCTGAGTGCCCCACATTATCCCCACAGCATTCCTGTCAGGAAGGGCGGCGCTACCCTCACCACTGGGCCATCCTCCCTCTCTCCACGCACAACCCCCTCCATCCAATATCGCTCATCAGCTCCACGTGCATTGGAGGCTGTCCCATCTTCCCAGCTGGTTTTTGCCACATGAGGAATGATTCTTAGTCACCAGCTGGCTAGCCCAGAAGCTGGGATCTCCAGGCACAGGTGTGCTGCCATGGCAAGAGCTGAGGGTTTGCCGCTTCCCAAAGGTTCACGGTTGAATAGCGCCAATGCAAAAATAAGATGGGTCAGCTCAGGGAGGACAGGTGCAGACCACCAAAAGCACTGAGAGTATAAATCTGGTGTGACTCCACTGACATCAACAGGCCAGATCCTCCTCTGGTGTATAGTGGTACAGCTTCCTTGACTTCAGTGATTTACACCAGTGGAGGATCTGGCCCCCTAGAGTTTCACTGCTGTAAGTGAAAGGAGAACAAGACTGTTGACTCTCTATTCTCTGCCCTTGTCTGTTCATGATGACGCCCGCTGAAGTTCACAGAAGTACTATGCATGACCAAGGACAGCAATGAGAGTCAGAGCTCCACTATTTACCCCAGCTGCGGATTTGGCCCATTACATGCGTGCACATGGTATGAATATGCCCGAGTCTGCTCCTACATGCGTGTCATTTCACTGACTTCAGTGGCGTTATTCCTGATTTACACAGGTGAGAGAGGAGAGTCACACCTGTGGTTATTACTGGAATTGCCGGGGTAAGTCGACAGGATTGATCGGCCAGGGCGCTAATTCACTTTTACACTGGTGTAACTCCACTGATTTCAGTACAGGAAAATGGAATAGCCCAGTGGTGGATCTGTCTCTGTGGGCCAGATTCTTACCTGGCGCAAATTGGCATAGCTCTATCAAAATTATAGGAGTTACCCCAATTTATACCAGCTGAGGATCTTGGCCTATATACCTATCTGTCTTATTTCTAAAGGCCCTTTCGCTGTATCTAGCCTTTTGCCTACACCCCGCTGCTGCCAGGTGCATTGCCTGGTCATCCCCAACACTCATTTTACCCTGAGTTCAGTCTTCTGCCCTTAAGGCCGATAAATCCATGATGATTAGGAATTGTCCATGTCATAAGTACCTCCCAGCTTTGATCTGCCCCTCCTTGACTGAGGCATCCAAGGCATCTCCTGTGCCTCATATTTTTACCATGAAACTGCAGTTCTTCGCCTCCCTAGTGCCTTACCGGAGAGCATGCGGCCCAGCCTGGAGGCTTCTGTAGCCAAGGTGCAGGATATCTCTATCCTCTTCTCCTGCTCCTGGAGCTGGGTTTCTGCATCCTGGGGCACGTCCACCTCTCCCTCGCTTAGAGGGACCACATTCTGCAAGCTGCGGCAGAGAGAGTTCGGTGTTACTGTCCCAGTGCCCCTGGAGCGATGGCCCGGCCCGAACTACAGGGCATGCTTGCAAGGATGCAGAATATGGCTGGGCAGAACGACAGGGTGAGCAGGTAGAAGATTAGGTAGAAGAGATGAATGGGTAGAGGGGAGGTGGGTGAATGCATGAGTGGAATGGCAGATAGCTGGGTGGCTGGATGGGCGAGGAGTTTAATGAGTTAGTGGGCGACTAAATAGATGAATCAGGAGGCTCCATGAACAGATAGCTGAATGGATTTGCAGGTGCACGAAGGGAGGGTGGACAGACAAACAGCGGCTGTAGTGGATGGGTGGAAAGTCAGACACGGGCACGAGAGAGAGGGTACGATGGATGAGGTGGCGGTGTGGCCCAGCCGGTGCTGAAATGGGCACAGAACAGTACCATCACCTGGATTTGGCAATGAGCGTCTTTATCCTTTCCACTTTCTTCTGCTTCTCCTTCATCTCTTCGGGGCTTAGGGGGGTGTCCGGTTCCAGCTCAATGTACCGCTCCGGAATGAGGACCTTGTCTGGGGTAGAGAGCTAGGAGGAGGCAAAGGCAGGTTTTAAGTCCGGGGTCTGAAGTCAACATGAGCATTCTGTAACTGCATGCATAGGGGAGAGCACCGCAGCCAGCCTCGGTCCCTTCTCCAGCACCCAGTCTCTCCTTCAGGGCTCACCCAGCCTGTTCCAGCACTCGTATATCACCTGTTCCTGCTCCAGCAACTCGCTGTAATCCAGAACCAGCACAACACTCATCCCTGGCCCAGAGCCCACATGACACTCACCCTACACTGCATTCTTCTCTGCCCAGTGCCCAGCCCTGGTGTCTGCTCCAGCCCCCAGGCCCAGGAGATGGGACGTAAGGGCCTGGGCAACACGAACGCCAAGAGGGACCTGTCCCTTCAGCCCAGGCCCCATTTTCTCCCGCCTGCCCTGGGCCCACGTCATCTCGGAGGAGCTGTCTCCCCGCACCATGCACACGGTCTCCATAGCAACCTGCCCCCATTGCCATCCCTCAGGTGTGTTGCGCCAGTGGGGCCAGGCCTCACCTCCTTACTGATGTCAACGTCATAGTGCTGGGGCTCCAGCTCCATCTTGCGTAGCCGGGCGATCTCCTCCCTCGGCGTCTCGTAGACTTTGCCGGAGTCCTCGGTGCGTAGCACTGCCTCCAGGTCGGAGATGTCCACCTCGTGGATGCTGCGGTGTCGGCACACCTGGAACGGGCCACAGAGCTGCCACCTAAGAGCCAGGTCGGTCCCCCAGCAGGGTCATGCCCCTGCTGGCTCACAAATGCAAGAGGTGGCTCTGTCTCGCTGGCCTTTTCCCCTCCTCTTCCTCCCCCACTCCTCCAGAAACCCCAGGGTTTGTTCTGTCCGTCCATCTGTGCCCATCACCATAGCCTCAGAGCAACACCCACACCTACCTTCCCTGGGTAAGCACTTCCCTATGTCCCCATCTCTCACATCCTTCAAGCACCCCACCATGGGCCCCACTGGCTCTGCCCTTCATGCCCCCAAACATTTGACTGCTGACCCATGGCAGGCCCCAGCCTTAGTAATAATTGTACCATCTGGTTCTTCTGCAGCACTTTCCATGAGAACATCTCAAGGTGCTTTTCAGAGAAAGACAGTATCGTTAGCCCCAATTCACAGATGGGAAAACTGAGGCATGGGGAGGGGAAGTGACTCGCCCACCCAGTGGACCAGTGGCAAAGCTGGGAAGAGAACCAGGTGTCCCAAGTCCCAGTTCAGTGCTCTGGCCACTAGACCACACTGCCTCCAGGCAAATCCAAACAGGGCCTTTCGGTTGGGGAGGACTTGCAGTCCCGGATCTGAAAACCCTCTTTCTGGGAGACAGCAGGGACTAACCCACGCCAAGGGAGCTGGCCCAGAAACCCCAGAGGAGCCTGGGGACTGGACAAGCTCAGGGATGTTATTCTGAGGAAGGCCTGTGGCATAAATGCAAATTCCACCCCCAAACCTCACGACTGACATGGGAAGACCGTACCACTTTGTATGACGCGGGTGCCTTCGTGCTGGGAGCGTCTGGCTGCTGATTGGCCGGGAGCTGCAAACTCCGCCTTTTTTCCTTCATGGATCCACTTTGGTGGCGTTTCATTCGGTCGATCTGCTCCTCCACGCTCATTTTTGCCTTCATCTCATTGGAGAACACGGCGCTTTTTGGCCTCTCCTGGGGAGAATCCCAAAAGCCCCACGGTTACAGAAGGGCCTCAACATGGGTTGGGACCCTAGTGTCCCCCAGTAATGGGTTCAGATGTGCTGCTCTCAACTTGCTGTCTAAGGGAAAGGCTTCTATGCTAGACAATTAGCATCTCAGCAGCTGTTCCTGGGAAACTCAGGGTGGGAAGAACATGGGGGGCTGGACTGAAGAGCATCAGTTGGAGCAGAGGAGTGCAGGGCTGGGCTAGCAGGGGGCCGTGGGTTGGGATTGAAGGGCACTGGCAGAGTGGTGCGTACTGGTGAAGGTGGGAGGGCAGGTCAGGAGAGAAGCGCCGTGGGTGGGACAGTGGCAAGGAGAAGCCTCGGCTCTGCTGTGGGGCAGCCAGGGAGGTGCAGACAGTCACTGAATTGGAGCTCAGACATTCAGACCAAGGTCAATAGCCGGGGGGAGGATTCCCAGGCCTTGCAGGGGCAGGCAGAGGCTAATCCGGTTAGTGAAGCCAGGGGGTTCTCCACAGGTGGTATTTCCTGCTAAAAGCTTCAAATGCCACCTCCTTGTGCCAACACAGCTCCTGTGCCCCTCTCCTGAATGCTCCAGGGAAGCTGGCAAATGGGCTGTGAGCCCGACACCTCCTATGGGCTTCCTTTATCTTATCCCACTCTCTTCCACCTCTGCACCAGTCCCACCTCCCCACAGCCCATTCCAACACCCTGTACAGTCTCCCATCTCCTACCCCAGCCCTGATCCACACCCCTGCATCCCCTCCATTTCCTCCCAGGTCCCTGCACCCCATCCCAGGATCCCCAGTGACATGCAAAGCCGAGAGCCGCAGCATACCCCGGAGGTCAGTCCATTGGCCATGTTGCTGGTGCTCCTCCTGACCACGCCTGAAGTGGGAGCCAAGTCCTCATCGGTGGGAGACTTGGTCCTCGGGGGAACGATACCAACTGGGGAGAAGCAGAAGAGAAGATAAATGCTTGAACCCAAATCAGCTGGCTGCTCACGGCACTGCAGGCCCAGAGGGTGGCTCCAGGGCCCCATGCTGGTTTGGGACATGGCAACAGCTCTCCTGAGCTGCAGGTTGCCTGGGTGGTTCACTGCTCCTTGCCCTCTCTCTACACTGCTCATCTTTGCTGGGTGCAGAGGATATGCTCCCACAGCCGCTGGTGGGGGGTGGCTACGTACTCACTGTGTACTCCGGGGAGTGTTACCGGGCCACTCGGCACTGGGAATGCGTAAGGATGCATGGCCCATCCCTCATACCTTTCCCCTGAGTGTCTCACAGCCCCAGCACCCCAAGAGAATATTATTAACCCCATTTTACAGTGAGGGAAAACTGAGGCATGGAGCCAGAATCACAGAATATCAGGGTTGGAAGGGACCTCAGGAGGTCATCTAGTCCAACCCCCTGCTCAAAGCAGGACCAATCCCCAATTTTTGCCCCAGATCCCTAAATGGCCCCCTCAAGGATTGAACTCATAACCCTGGGTTTAGCAGGCCAATGCTCAAACCACTGAGCTATCCCTCCCCCCAAAGTAACATAGCCAGTCAGTGGCAGAGCCAGAAATAGAACCCAGGAGTCCTATCCTCCAACTGCCTGCTGGGATTACTAGATCAATGCAATCATACTGTGTGCTTCATATGGAGCATGCAGAGGAAGGGCTGGGGAGCTGATCTGTTAATGCACCAAAGAGCCCCCAGACAGCAGATGACATGGAGGCGCAGAGCCTCCTAACCCCACTGAAGGAGTATCCCCAGATGCAGAGGGACCTCGGCATCCTGGGGGCCTGGTGACAAGACCCTGACTCTCCCAGGTGTAATAGCCTCTACCCAGAGGGGCAGGAGGAAATATTAGGGTAATAGTCTCCTCCCAACTCACTCCCTCTCTTTCAGTAGCATGCTCCACTGGGCGCAAGCAGATGGCCCCAGCGAGCTCTGAACCCAGCTTACTGCGTCCTCTTAAATTGTGCTCTGCGCTCATAAGGTACCATGGATTTTGATAAGGAGATCCCCAGACCCAAAATCCAAGAGATGAAGCCTCCCTCAGGGGCCACCCAAAGCTTCTGCTGGCCAGTGCCTCCAGCCCTGATCTCCCCTTCTTGGACGTTATTTATGGTGACAGAGGAACTGCTGCCCCCACTGAGATGGCGAGGCCATGGGAGGTACCTTTGTTGAGAGCCGCTTGCTTCTCAGCATCTGGCTCTTGCCTCGTCTGCGTGAGCCTGGCCTCTGTGGGTGGGATGGGGGCGGAGCTCCGATGAGCATCTTGCTTCTTCTGCTCAAAGCTGGACTTGGACTGCGGAAAGAGAGTGGATTCGCTGGTGAGCAGCTGACCTGCTCAGGAGGAGCTGTTGGCAGGGCAGCTGGGGAGACACCCTGCCTTCAGACCTCTGCCACTCATTAGCCGGGGGACAGCGGACGCAAAGGACACACACACCGAAAAGACCAAAACACACGCACACGAACGAAATAGCAATCGGGAGAGGCACTTAGGCAGGTTTTCATTTTGATCAACACCCTTCGCCCCTCAGCCCAGACACGCTCAAAGCACGAGATCCAATCGTCTGGACAGAGAGAAAGGCAAAATCCAGGCTGGGCTTGGAGCTGCAGAGCCATAACCAGGCATGGTCTGGGACACCCCTTTCGCCAAAGTGTTGAAGGCTGGGGCTATGGGTAGATCGGGGTATGCTGTCCTAGCTTTGCCCCATCTCTCGGCAGGATCGTTACTGAACTAGTTTGTGCAGGACATTTTGCTCACCTTGTGAAATATGAGACACCTTTGCCCCGTGGTCAGACCCTTTGCTATTTTTCTTTTGGGTTTGGGAATGTGGAAGTAGTCTCCTGGGATCTGACCCAAAACCCTTTGAAGTCAATGGAAAGATTCCCGCTGATTTCCACGGGCCGTGATCATCAGCCCGAGGTTGCTGACAGACAGCCTGAACTAACTCTCGTTAAAGTCTGTGGAAAGGCTCCCACTAACTCCAGCGGGATTTGGGTTGGGCTGCTGAGCTCCAGGCCCCACACCTTAACCACAGGGATGGTTAACCAAAAGCTTATGTTTGTGTTGATCCATGAACTAGAGGTGGGAGATGCTCAAGTGATTTGGGCTCCTCAGGTTGGACGAGCCAGCAACTCTGGATCCTGCTCCCCAGTCTCTGAAGTTCATGAGTCTGCAAAGCAGGGACAGGAGGCTGCACGGATGAGCCATGTAAATCAGGTTCTGGCCACTACACCCTGAAGAGCAGCCGGGGCCTGGAGAAGGGTTCCTCTGTAGGTCTATTCCTCTACCCTCCTTCCCACAATGTCTGCAATGAACCTGCTCAAGTTCATCTTCCTCCTGCTTCCATTTCAGCTCAGACAACATTCCCTGTGGACAAGATCTGCTACAGTGTGTCAATGAATACAGCAGGAATGGGGGAGTGGGCAAGGTAGGCCATGGGTGTAGATGACATGGGATGGGTTGGAAGAATGAGCCAGCGGGGGTTGCAACCATTACATCAGCCACTTGCACTGAATCCCCTCCTACCCTCAGCCCCAGCTTGGCACCTCCTTGCAGCTCATCTCCTTTCCAAGGGCCTCAGTCGGCTTCATGAGGGTCAGTTAAGCCTCGGAGCAGCCAGCATTCATAACGAGCGCATCTCAGAACATTGTCATAAAAAAACTCCCCAAATGAAAAAGGCTTCTTGACCGAAACAACCTTTTTTTGGAACATTTTCATTTTGGTCAAATCTTTTTCCTTTTTCAATAAAACATTTTGACCAAAAAGAAAAACAATTTCAAGGAAAAAATTCCAAGTGAAAATTTAAAAAAATTGAATTTCATTTTGGTGGGAATTTTTTTTAAAAAATTCTCTTTTTTTCTACTGGAGGATAACAAAAAAGTTTAAAAATAGGTTATTCCTTAATTCCTCTCTCTTTCTTTAAAAACAAAACAAACCCACCCCCTTCTTTACTTCAGTGGGGGAGGGAGGGAGAAAGTTTAAAAAGTGGGATTTATCCCCCCCAACTAAACAAAACAATTTTTAATAAAAAAAAAATTCCAGAAAATTTCAGGAAAAGTTTCAAACGAAATGGAAACATTGTTTCCTTTCAAATATTTGTACAAAATATTCTTATCTTTTCCAGCCAGCTCTATTATTACCCCGTTAGACACGACTGGCCCCAACATACACAGCGAGCCAATGACAGAGCTGGGGACAGAACTCAAGAGTCCGGGATCCCCCACAGTCCACTGTGGTTCTTATTTAAGAATCCCCTTTCATAACATAAAAGGCTGAAGCCACAAGAAACATTAAATATTGCAAAGACATCCTGTGATAAAATTAAATAGGCCACATTTATCCCCTGGCTTCAACGGGCTCACGCCAGTAAATATTCCTGCCCAATATTTCCATGGCAAGGCAAATTCTCAAATAACTTTGCCTTGGGTAAACTGCACCCTTCCCAAAAAAGAGACTGCACATGCAACCAGGGAACTGTTTGCATGTTTTCAACAGCTGACTGCAAGCTCAGATAGCTGTTTGCACGCATAGCCACCTATTTTACATGTGCAGCTGCATGCGGGTCAAGTCTGCATGTGCAAAAAGTTGTCTTCCTGCCTGTTTGCATTTATACATGCAACCTCTGTATGCACAAATCACCTATCTGCACTCACAATTAACTAGCTCGTTCATGCTGTTACTTGATGGTGCATGTGCATTGTACTGCATGCCCAAGTATCCATCCACACACACTAGCATGCCTTTCGCACATGTGAGATCACTTGGCTGCATGAATGCTTGTGCTTTTTTTGTGCGAGTGAGTATTTTGAATTTTACACGTGGGTATAAATCAGGAGTAACGCACCCGAACTTAATGCAGTTATGCTGGCGTGAGATCAGAATCAGGCCCTGTACAATTAGTTCGCTACAGCCGAGTGCTTGTTTGCAGATGACAACTGGAAGTGCAATTATCCAGGCTGGAGTAAAGAAAGCCAGAGGGAGAATGGAAGAGAAAAGCAAACAGGAACCAGGCTGCTCAGCATGTGACGCTGCACATTTGAGTCTCCTCTCCTACTGGTGTCAGTCAGAAATAAATTGGCTACTCACATCAATGGTGTTACACTGGACCAAGCAAGAATCACAGTGATGCCAGCAAGAGGCCCTGGAATTCTCCCTCTATCCCGCTGTGTGGTGGGCTCATAATGGTTGCATCCCTGCACCCAGGCTTTTACAGCATCCTAGTGACTGGCATAGTATCCCCTTTTCCACACTGAGACGAGACTGGCTTTAAGGGTGTTTCAGAGCATTTGCCTTGGAGCATCAGTCACCTCAGTTCAAATGGATCCAGCAGCAGTTTAGCTTAACGGCCTTACCAGAAACAGGCTTGAGTGCCCTCTCTGGGCAAAGTTTTATGGACCATTGATTTCCCTGGACAGTAAGAATAGTCTGCTCTTGCATGGCGAGTGTCACTATGCATTGATCTCAAAGGAGGGCATCATTACCCCTGTTGGGCATATGGGGAAACCGAGGCACAGAGTAAGGCAGTGATTTGCTCATGGTCAGTTGCACAGCTGGGAATAGATCCTGGGTCCAGGCCAGTGCCCTATTCTTTAGACAATGCTGCCTGCCAATAAGCCATTAAGGGGACAGAGCTCACTAAGTTCCCCAAAGGGGGAGGGATTCTAGTTACAGTGCCCACCTTAAAATGCCTGCATAAATCTAGAATTCAATACAAGTATTTCCTGTTTGACAGGGCCTGGCTGCAGAGAGGACTCAAGCATGGCCTCTGACCCTGGGAAAGCCCCTGCCCGTGCTGGGGGTCTGGATGCCCGGAGTGTGCCATGCTTCTCCAGCTTGGCCGAGGGCAGTCACGGAGCTAAGCCCCTGCCTGTCTGTTCCCTGGGGCAGCTTGCTCCCCATACCTCTCCAGCGTTTGCTGCTGTAGGGAGAGGGTCAGCTCTGCTTTGCCCCCTCCCAGCTATCCCCGTGGCTCTCCCCTTAGCTGGCTTCGGTTCCCAGTGGGGGATGGGGATACTGTGTGCTGCTGGATGCCGAGGTCCGCTCTGGAGGCGCTTGGATACCTGTCCCCTCTTCGCCTCGCCGCTTTGCTGCCAGGAAGGGGAGTTAGGGTACGGCCAGAAGCGGCTCTCGCTAGGGAGTGGAGGAACAGTTGGAGGAGACTCCAGAGGGACATACGATTTGGGCAGGGGAGGTCGAGGCGGGCCTGGTTCCTGGGGCAGAGAGGAAGCCAGAGTGTTAGGCGCAACAGCAGAAAAACTGAGAGAATAGGAAGGAAAAGACAGTTAGCAAGAGACTGAGACAAACAAAGGCACTGAGCCCAGGGCGAGGGCAGCTGGAGCCCAGACAGTACCGCTGGTCCCTCCCCATCCAGGCTGAGCACTCGCTCTGGGACCCAGCAATTCCAACTCGCCCCATTAGCCTAGGGCCCAGACCCACACATCCAGCATCCCCTGCTATGTCACAGCTCTCAACAGAGGGGCCACTTACCTGGATGTCATGTGTTTATGCCAATGGGAGCCTGGCAGAGTAACCCCACCTGCTGCTGTGAATGCGCCCCCAGGAGAAAGGACAAGTAGGTCCACTTACCCCGCCCTGGCCATTCTTCCCGTTTTCTGAGGCTGGGCGCTTGCCCTTTGGTTCAGCTTCACAGTGAATCTTTGGTACCAGCTGGGCAGACAGCAGCAAATGAGAAGCCCCACAAAACAAGCCGAACCACAGAGCAGAGCATAACTCTCTGGCTTAGGTTTGAGTTTCTCCCTCTCTATCTAGAAAATGTCCAACGTGCCCAACACCGTGGCATCTAGGCACGGTTGTGGTTTTGTCTGATGGGCTCCAACGAAAGCCAGACTCAAACCCAAACTAGGAGAGTAGAGCACAATGGGCTGAACTAAAACCCTGGTTCTCCACGCCCCAGGACTTCAGAGCATCTGAACCCAAGTCTGCACCCAAAATGTGCATGTCCCACCCTCCCCCAATCTTCCCAATGGGCCAAACCAAAGCCCCAGGTCCAAATCCACCTTCACTTTGACCCTGACTTGTGCAGCCTGATCCCAGCTCTAGTTAGAACCCACAGTTCACGCCGTTCTCCCGGGCCGTCGGATGAGAAAGCCGGGACTGCCACCTGCTGGTGCAAAGAGAATCTCAAGAGGAGAAAAGCCATAGACACTTCCTGCCCAGGGCTACTATTCTAGCCCCACGCAACAGCGGCTCCACTCACCTCGCTTGCCCCTTGCTTGGTGGGCGACCCCTGTGAGCCTGACACAAGGGAGAAAGGGCTCAGTGGGCTAGTGAGGCTGGCTGAGCTCAAGGGGCTAGCGGGGCTGTTGGAGCTGTAGGTTCCCGAGGGGCCAGCGGCCACTGTGGAGAAACAAGAGAGGAGAGAGCGGAAGTGAGCGTGCAGCTCATTCACACTGAGCAAGGGGGGGATGGCACAGCAGGGAAGGGGCCAATGAACCAGGGCCCGGGGCTTCTGAGCTGCATTCAACGCCAGGCCAGAGGCCAATGTGCCCAGGGTGGTCGTTGCACGGTCTTCTCTCTCTCCTGGACTTATCAAGAGCAAGCAGCAGACACCTTCAGGCAGAAGCAGCAGAAGGACCTCCAGAGAACCGGCAGGGATGTCTAGAGAGGTGTGTGATGTACAGAAACTACAGGTACCTGCCATAGGGACCCTGCCAGATACCATGGCCACCAGCGGGACTGCGTTTAATGCGGCACTGGGGCTGCAACCCACATCCTTTTGCTCCAAAAAAAAAAACCTCACAGAGCCCTTGCTGTCAGATTCTCCATTAGCCTTAGGGCTCCTGCCCTCTGCGGGCTGCAGCCACAGGACAGCGACGTGATGGCAGAGCCGGGAGTGGGCCTGGAATGCCGCCGAGCGCCAGGTGCATGTGGCATTCTGAGCCAATACAAAGCAGTGTGACTGTGTCAACAGGGAGGACGACAGGTGCATTGAGACACCCGGGCAGCCAGCGGCCTCTAGCTCTGCGGCCGGGGAAAGGGAGGGAGTGGCAGGCCCATGCCGGGTAGGGAGGAGTCAGCGCTCACCTCTGTGTTTGGCAGTGTCCGTGCCCCGGGAGGGGTTGTTCTTCCTCAGCCCCTCCATCACGTCCTGGATGCGCCAGATCTCCTTCTGGATTTGCCGGTTGAGCATTTCGTTCTGGAAGGGCCGAGGTGTGGCGAGTCAGAGCAGCTGGCAGGTGCCACGCCGCACTTCGCAGCCAGCCACCCCGAGCCACAGGGGCGTGGCACGGCCCAGCTAACCTGCCCTCCGAGGCGAGGTCTATGTGACAGCCACAACAGCTGCCTAGCTACGGAGCTGCAGCTGTGCCACTGTACTGTGGGTGCTTGCTACAGCAATGGAAGAGGTTTTCCTGTCGCCGTAGTTAATCTACCCCGCCGAGAAGCTGTAGCAGGGGGAATTTGTCCGTCCACCTACTGTTGTCTATACTGGGGCTTAGGTTGGCTTGACAACCTCTTTCAGGGGTGTGAATTTTTACACCCCCTGAGCAAAGTAGCTAGGCGACTTAAGTGTTGGATGCAGGCCAGGCCTGGCTGACCCTGTGTCCCTGTGCTCATCGCCCGACAGTAAAAATACCCAGCACCTCCTCCCGCCCACTAATACCGTAGCACCAACCCGTGGGGCCTTCACTCTGAGTTCACTCCGAGGGAGCTCCCAGTGCCATCACTGAGGGGGGTGTCTGAGCACGGAGCGGGACCTGCAGGGATTTGGCCCCAGGAGTCACTGGAAGGTGGCATGAGCAAGGACTGAATAATGAGGGGCTTTGCAGGGGAAGCTGGCCCCAGCATGACTGGAGCACACAATAGGCTCGTTCACCAGGACACTGGCAAGGCAGACCAGGACTACCGACCTCTCCCTCCCACCGTCTGGTGTCACAGACAAAGGGGGCCTGCATTAGAACGCTGCCTCAGAATCAGTCACCTGCTCGGAAAATGAACAGCTAGGGTGGGATCCACAAAGGTCTCCCACTGAAATCAATGGGAGTTAGGCACCTCAATCCCCACCTCAATGTTTATCTTGCAAAGATTCCGCCATGCTGCTGCCAAGGCATTTCTATAGCAGCAGGTGACATAATTATCCTGTGAATTCATCCCTCCTGGTAACCCTGGGCCTTTCCCAAGAGCAGCGTATTAACGAGAGCTTCGTTACAGAACAGCAGAGGGTAAGTGCCATCTAGTGGCGTGAGTCCTGGGGCACTTAGAACTCCTGTGCTGTAATCCCAGCTCTGCCACTGACTGGCTCAGTGGTCTTAAGCGAGTCGCGTTTTTGCTGTGCCTTGCCTTCCCCCTCGGCCACATGGGGATAACACTGTTTACCCAGCAGGGCAGCTGCGAAGACGGGCTGGGTAATATTGGCATGGCGCTCTGTTTAAGTGTTATATCACAGCAACTGCTACCTTAGAGTGAGGGACGTTAATGCCCAGTTTACCTTGGCTCCATCTCTGAAGCAGACAGACCCCAATAAATACGTTATTGGAACGGAAGAGTGAGTAATTACCCACAAAGGCAGAGCTTGCTTAATATAGAGGTAAAGGCGAAGCTTGAAGAGGCTGAGCTAGGATTATATCCCAGTCGAGTTTAGTTTTCAAAGGAGCAGGGTTTAGTCTAGGATGACTGACATGGTTCAAGCAGAAGGAAGGAAGGTTACTGGGCTGGCTTTAGAAAGATAGCTTTGGATGGGGTGTACTTTGACCCTGCTTTGGGCAGATCCTGTTGAATTTCTATCCCCATGTCATTATTCAATCCCAAGTCATTTTTAGGGGTCAAATTCTGCTCAATGTTACATAGTGTGATTATGGAGTAATGAGTATTGAATTCAATGGAATTACTCTGGATTTATGAGAACTTGACTCTATTTTCAGAACCATGTGTGCAAATGACTGTGCGTAAACTCCACGCAGATTTGCGTTCCTAATTTGCACAGGCAGTTACTGAGCTTGTACATGTAATCCCAGTAATTGCACGACCACTTGTGCATCTAACTGGCCATTTACTGCACAAATAGCATGGCACAGTCATGATAATTGTGCACACAAAAACACGTGCTTGTTTTTGCACATGAAGGTTTCTGAAAAGCAGGTCCTGAAGTTGTGACTTAAACCCAAAGAACTCCAAGTGATGGGCTCTTAGGGCTAGAATTTACTCTTATTTACATCAGTTTTACAGAGGAGAACTCTACTGACCTCAATGGAGTTACTTCTGATTTACATCAGAGCAGAATCAGGCCCCAGTGAACTGGTCTAGCTGCCCAGAATGGCTGAGATCTCCATTTCCATGTACCCCGCCAGATCCCAGGCTGCTTGGATTCACTAGCACTGGCCTGAAAGGGCACGGTCCCATTCTCTCACCTGGATATCCAAGTTCAGCTGTTCCCACAGGTCATCGTGCAGGGCTGACACCTCGCCCTCCAAGTTCTCATACTCTATGGTGCTGTTGGCCAAGGCCTGTAGGAATTTCCAAACATTTCCATCAGAAAATCAATTAGTCTGTCTGTGTCCATGGCGGGCACAGGGAATATATGCCAGCACACAACCCTCACCAGCCTGCCAGAGCCAGGATGGGCTGCTAAGAGGGGGATCCCCACCTTGGAGAAAGAGGCACTTGGGCAGCGGGTGGGCCCTGGCATGCGTGTAGTAGCACGGGGCTGAGTATGGGGCTAGGATACGGTCAGCAAGGCCATAGCCCATACCCTCTGCGAGCGGATGCTCAACTCATTCTCCAGGGACAAGCTTACTCTTCGGACATTTCCACCTAGGGAAAGGTTTCAGAGGAACAGCCGTGTTAGTCTGTATTCGCAAAAAGAAAAGGAGTACGTGTGGCACCTTAGAGACTAACCAATTCATTTGAGCATGAGCTTTCGTGAAAGCTCATGCTCAAATAAATTGGTTAGTCTCTAAGGTGCCACACGTACTCCTTTTCTTTTCACCTAGGGAAAGGCATCCTTTGTTTTAGCTGTCTGTTGGAAATACCAGGCCTGGCTGTGAATGGCATTGAGCCAGGGGGCATATCAGGGGAAGGCAACAGAAAATGGTTTGGGGGATTTGTTCACAGGGAACAGCAGACAGTGGGGGAGGTGATCTATGGAGAGATGGTGGCAATAGTGGATTAGGCAGGATGTAATGACAGGTGTCATCTGTACAGAATGACCCCCTGGGTAGACAGGGAATTGTGGCCATCTCTTATCTGCAGTTACTTGGGAGCTGGCAGGACCGGTGCTGGAAGCAAAGGGAAGCAAGTGATGACTGTATTGCATCATTAGGGATCAGGGGTTGGAAGGCAAAACAGGAGTGCAGAAAAGCAAGGAATGCAAACTGCAAGTGGGAACCCAAAATATTGCTCCCTGGCATGCACCCCAACTCGGCGCTGGAGGGGTTAATAGTTTTTGTCCCTGTACGAGATGCTTTGGCTCGTCTCAGTTCCCAGTGGGATGATGGGATTCCCCCCCCCCTTTTTTTAATGAAAGAAAAAGAGAAGGGGGTGATGCACAGACAAAGGAGAGGAAAGCGGAGAAGAGATTTATCCCCCCAGGCTGAGATGGTAGAGACATTCCCCCCTCCAGCACCAGCAAGGTCCATGCTTGCTGCCCTGCCAAGTGGGCAGCATGCAGACACCAGGATCTATGCCGGGGCAGCTGCTCCCCTCAGAAGCAGAACAGTGGGGGTGCATGGCACTGCGTGAGTTAAAATTGCACGGCACTTTGCGGCCCAGGGAACATGGGCCTCTTCCTGCATCCCATCCTCTCCAAAGTTAAGAAGTACCCAAGCGTGTAGCGCCCCATCCAACCCATTGATATAGTGCAAGGCCTCTCTAGTGACTTGAGGACCACTGGCCCTTACCATGTCATTTTTTCACTTTCAGGCAGGGCACAGGGGAAATTGAAGCACTGGGCCAGTTTGGGTCCCCATGACACCCCCAGAAGGAGGAGGGGACCCCAGCAGTCTCATGGACTGGCAGGTAGAGGAGAGTCAGTTACCGTGCTGGCCTGGGACAGCTCCACCCGGATGTTGATCAGCTGGTTCTGGAGGGATTCCTTCTTGTGCAGCAGCTTCTCAGGGTAGGCTGGCTGGCTCCCAAACATCTCCAGCTCTTGGTGGGTCCCCATCAGGGCGCTCTCAAGACTCTCCTAATGGTAGGGAAAGATGGTAATTAAACCCTCATCATCTCCCTCCCCTCGAACGCGCAAAGCACTCGGCGTTGGCAAGCCCGGAGGTTGGCATCTGAAAGGGCCAATTTGCAGCAGAATGGTCTGTGGGTAACCATGCTCCCGTCTTGATCAATGCCAGCGGGTAAGCATATCTGGCTGACCTGGGGATGGGGCTGCAGGCAGCCAGCAATGCCCAGCCCTGCAAGCAGGGAGGTTGGTCATCACAGGGTTAAGGCACTGGCCTGGGACTCAGGAGATCTGGGTTCATTTCCCAGCCCTGCCCCAGTCTCCCTGTGACCTCAGGCAAGTCACTTGGCCCCTCTGTGCCTCCATTCCCTGTCTGCAACGTGGGCAGAACACTTGCCCTCTTGCCAGGTGGTGTCAGGAGTGGACCGTAATTACCATATGAGGCACTCTGTCACTACCGTGATGGGGGCCAAGTGAGAACTGAAAGCTGCTAGCACTGTGTAACTGCCCGGGCAGAAATACCCACCCTGGCGGGAGGCCTGTGCATGCTTCATCCACCCACCATGGGGGATGGCGTAGGGATCCCTGCAAACAGCTACAACCCTGCTACTGGTGAAGTGTTCACCAACAGAAGACACGGCTAGCCCCAGCACCTGGGTGCCCCCACGGTGGTAGGAACCAGCCTGCTCCAGTCCCCTTCCTCAGCCGCTTACCTTCTCTGCTCGGAGCTGCTGCACCAGCCTGTCCTGCTCCCTCACCACCTTGTTTTGCTCACACAGTTTTCCCAGTAGCTTCTGTCCTCGGGCAAGGAAAGAAAAGGGGAAGGTGGGGAGAATGAAGAGCAAGGGCCACTGGGGTCCAAGGTGTAAAGGTGCATGGGGACATCAGATCAGGCACGAAGCTGGCCTAGCCAGTAACAACCACTTCCAGGCTCTGGGTTGCAATGCTGCCTGGTATGTGTGAAGCTTCCCCATTCCTGTCTTGAGATCACTTTGGGCAAACAAGGGAGAGGCCTGGGTATTTTAATAGCATTTGATCAGCTGGAAACTAAGGCAGTTCAGGGCAGGTTAGAAGGTTGGGTCTCCCCCACTCCACGCATCTCCCCACGCCCCAGGGTGCTGTATGACCTCTGCACCTCTGATTATTGATCGGCCAATGTACCACCCGTCTGAGGCCCGACTGCGGGGAGTCCACCACAACGGGGAGTGCTGAGCCGCACAGGGATGGGGATTGCACCTCTTCCCAGCCCCATTCCCCTGGAGCCCTTCAGCGTGGAAGCCCTTCCTTGGCTTTTACCATGGGCCTCAGAGCCCTGATGCCAAGCCAGCTGTGGATAATTGACAGGAGAGAGGAGATAGGGTCTGTTCTGCCATTGCGCCATGGTGCACAGTTAAGGATGGAGAAGGCTCATTATGGTCGATCAGCGAGTCTGTATCTTCACCTGGGCAGGGCACAGATCCAAACTCTGATCCCACTCAGGTCAGTGGCTCCCAGTGATTTGATTGGGAAGAGGATTTGGCACCCAGTCCACCTGACAGCAGTTTAGCACCTGATACATCTTCTATGACGCTAGCTTATAGCCCAGAGACTCTACAGTATCTCATTTCTAGTCTTCATTCAGTGGGCCTCTTCCCCTTTTCCCCAGCTCAGAAGCAGATGGGTCAGTCACACTTGGCAGCACAGAAAATGAGAAGTCAGTAGGATCCACTGGGTTTCCTAGGAACTGAGTTTCATTTCCAAGGTGACTTATCAGGCCACAGATATAGGGAAAGACCCCTCTAGCAACTAGAGGGGCCACTGTCTATTTACCACGTCATTGTGTCACAGGTGGGCAGGGTACAGGGGAAATCCCTTTGGGATCTGCACAGTGGGGACCTGCAGCAACCTGCCATCTTCCAGGGGACATTTACTACGCAAATACCCACGTAGGTAACACACAAGCCCAGCAGACAGGAAGCACACACAATTACACAGCACGAGCGATACACGCACAGCAGGAGGGAGGGAGGCAGTGGAAAGGAAGCTGAGAACTAGAGAGGACAAGCAAGCAACACGAGTGAGCGACAGAAATGATACTGATCGTGCCCGCGTCTTTCTAGCTCTGCTCTGAGAGAGGATGTTCGTCCAATGATAAATAGCCTCACAGAAAGAGGCAGGGGAAGGCATAGCTGCTGCGGGGCGGAGGATGGGTGGGTGACAGCTGGGGGGCAGGGCGGAAAAGCAAGCAGAGAGCGTGGCTCTTACATCAGTGTCTTGCTCGCTTATCTTGTAGGCGTGCAGAGTCTCTCTGTAGGCCTCTGGGAAGGGAGACACCTGCAACAACAGGAACCAGTCACTGCTGCTCCCTCCTGCGGGGAGCACATCACGACAAGCCTCTTGGGAGAGCTGCGGTGGCTGTTGGAGCCCTTGGTGAGAAAGGTTTCCAGCCCAACCATCCCCCTTTCCCTACCGATCGAGTCCTCTTTCCCCACAACACTTAGCACGGTGTGCAATGATGAGGGGTGAAGGGCATGCACGTGCAGTGCATTGGCCTTCAGTGATTAGAAGGATGACCCAGTTCCCCAGAGTCAGGCCAGTGATGGGCTCTGATGGTGACTTAGAAATGCCTCCTCAGTATACAGTTAGTCCTGGAGAAGCCAAGAAAGCACGCACTTCCATGTACAAACCAAGAGAGAACTGCCAAGCAAATGCTCCTTTCCCAGCCACTTCAGCAAAGGATTTCCAATATTTAACCACATCTGGGGCCTGGATTTGTAAACAGGTTAGACGCGGCCTTGTGAACAATGGTAATTAGCCACCTGCACGTGCAGTTACCCCGTTTCCATTCACAGCCAGAGGAGCTTGGTGTGCAAATCGGTGTGGTGCCTTTGTGGGTGCCATCGTGCACGAAACTGCTTTCACAATGTGCCTCAGTTTCTCAGAACGAAGCTGTTCTAGATGAGCGGGGGCTCCTCAAAATGCGAGAGCTCTAAAGAAAGGCCGGGCCTTGCCTGCCCTTGTAACATAGGAGGGTGCTGGGGTGCACGTGTGCTTAGGAGGAGCTAAAGACTCAGCATGTAGCTTACAAGAGGCAAGAAGAAATAGCTGAATAAGGTCCCAGAGTGCCCCTTTCATGGCAGGCTGAGACAAGCTGATCGTCACCGGAGTGGTGGGCTAAGGGGTAGCGACCAACAGCAGACCAAAAGAAACAGCTGCTGCAGTCACTAGGGGACACTGCACCGACATTCCCCACTGAGGGCTTACTTTCAGTGAGATGCTGGTGTTAGGCTCTTTATTTGGGGTCTTTCTATTTTAGCTCCCCAACTTTTTACTCCAACCATTTTACAGATGGGAAAACTAAGGCAGAGAGCTAAAGGCACAACATTTTCAAAAACGGCCACTCATTTTGGGTGCCTCAAGCTTTGGGTGTCCAACTAGAGACATTATGGGCCTGATTTGCACAAGGTGCTGAGCACCCACCATTTCCACTGACTTCAACTGATTGGTGGGTGCCAGCACCTCTGAAACGCTGGCCTACGGTGTCTCAAGTGGGGCACCAAAGTCAGTGGGCACGTCTGAAAACATTTACTCTAAAGAACTTTTCCTTCCCTTGGAAAACTAGAGTAATGGTGATTCCCCAGGGCGACGCACAGGATGCACGGAGACCTCAAATCAGTGTCTAAGAGGTGAAAGGTCTACAATAAGAGCATGGGATTATTACTGTGATACGGCAAGAGACCACCATGACAACCCACAGCTGCAAATAGGTCCTGACCCTATGCTGAGCTCAGCATGCTGCAGGATTTGGCCCAAGGGACCCTGCTGTCTCAGAGCAGGACAGGAGAGCCAGTGAGAGACTTCTTTTGCGTTCCAGGCTTGTATTCAATCCTCCATGACTGCACCATCCGTCCCAGCCGGGGGCATGTTCCATTTACACACCGGGTACAAACTTCTTCACTTTTCCATCCATAGCTATCCCTTCCTCAGTGCGATACAGCCCAACATGCCCAACAACCCACCTAGCGAGACAACCAGGAGGTTACACTGAACAGAACAGCCCTGGGGTCCAGTACAAGAAGGCAGAGCTGGCTCTACGTACATTGACCAATGCCCTGCCTAAGGTCCTGCCTGACCACTGCTATGTCCATCTACGGCCCACTGTGTTCTGTACAAACGTCTGGAAAATATACATCGGAAACATTCAGCAAAAGTGAGTTCGGTTAACACAGATGGCAGATCTAGGAATGAGACTTTGAAAACATGAATGGGTGACGCTAAGCTTGACTTTTATGAATGGGCCCTGGTTGGCGTGTGTTTGCAGTTTGGAATTACAGGAGGAAAGAATAATACTACTTAGTTCTGATATGTACTTTCTGTATATAAAGCACTGTGCAGAAGTAACATGCTTGCTGTGTGTGTCACATCCCTCCTCTGGTGGCTCAGAAAAGATAAAAGCCTATTTCTGCTCCCAGCTAATGGGATTGCTCTTGCAGCTCAAAGGACAGAGGATTGTGCTTTGGAGATGAAGACCCTGGGTTATTATTATTTGTCTTACTGTTGTGCACCGGAGCCCCAATCATGGCCCAGGACTCCACTGCGCTAGGCGCTGTACAAAGAGAACAAAAAGACAGTGCCTGCCCCAAAGTCTAAAGCTGCTGATACCCAGTGGTGGTGGGGTCTTTAACTAATTAATTCTCATAGACACGTAAAGTATTTATCACCTTCATTTCACAGATGGGAGCTGCAAGGCAGAGAGAGGGTAAGTGTCTCTCCCGAGGCTGCCCAGGGAGTTGATGGGAGAGGGGGATTAGAACTCAGGACTTCCTATGTCCCTTCAGACGGTAGGTTTTGGAATGGCTTATGGATGTCCCAGCAAAGCTTGTGATGGAGCCATCGCAGGCGGGTGTGGCATTGCAATGAGCTGAGATGGGGGTGGCGCATTCCCGAATGAACTGCGTGTGTGGGAGGAAGCTGGACGATGGGTCTGCCATGCAAAAGCAGCTGGAATGGCACTATCGATGGCAGAGCTGCTGTGGTGTCTTACTTGCATGTACAGCTGGGCCCTAGGGGAGGAGTTCTCCACCATTCTGTTCACCATACTGATCAAAGTTTCGCTCTCACTCATCTGTGACAGACAAGGAAGGAAATTTCAGACGTCAGAAGACACATGGATTCTCCCTCGGTTCCAGCATTAACGGTCATGACATAGTACGGGGTGATCTTCGGCGTCGGTTAGGGAGGCTTTGGACAGGGCTCTTCAGGCCTTGTGCTGCAAGGTGCTGAGTGCCACCAATTCTGCTGGAAGCCGACAGGGGCCGGGATCAAACAGGACCTCACAGGAGGTGCTCAGCCCCATGCAGGGTTGGCACATCTGGGGCATTGCTGCCCAGTTTCTATGAAGTCAGCTTGGCTCCCTGCCTGGCCACCTGTCAAAGCTCTGGAGACACGGCGAAAACCTTCATGGGTCAGAAGTGAGCTGGTCTGGAAGGCCACCCTACTGTCCACAGAGGGGCAAGCCTGGCACCAGCCACAGTCCTGGGGGATAGACCAAAGGGCATGTGTCCCGCAGGGTCACTAAAATTCCCTTGCTCTCACAAAGTGATGAGAAGCAGCAGTTCTGCTCTACAAAGACAGGAGGCTGCAGGCGTACTTCCTTCCCCATGCTGTGAACCTCATGCCCCCCATGGCTGCACAAGACTTCATGGTCTGCAGCTATTCCTTGCACCGTGAGAAGACTGACTCCCCAAGGTCCTCAACAGAGGGGGAGCCCAGGGACTTTCTCTCCAAGAACCTTGAGCTAAGGAAGGAACCAGAGTTCTCCTTTCACTGCTGAGCTGAATGCACCCAGAGAAGAGTTGCATCGGAACTCGGGAGCAGGGTCTGACCTCACAGCAGCCCATGGCTCTAGTTCCAAAGATCAGGATCGGTTGCTTTGTTTCCATTAACATCTACGCTACTGCGACAGTATTATTGCAGTGCTGGAGAGGCTGCACAGGGTTCCAAGGCACGTGAACGACGGGGAATCTTTCAGGGTCTCTTGGTAAGGAAAGCCTGTGTTGTATCACACGTATGTCACTAACTTCTCCCACCCCGTCGCTCACTGGTGCTGGGGGCGAGATGGCACGTTGGGTGGTGCTGCAGAAGGAAGCGTCCTGCCCTCGGAGCTGGAGTTCGCTCTATGTTGCAGTGTTTGCTATGCCCCAGGCCTTGCATGAATGGAGAGTTGAGATGTGCGAGGCAGAAACGAGCCTTTGCACCCTGCTACATGGAAACTAACTCAGTCACTGAGACACACCGACTGAATCCAAGAGAGTCAGATCCCAACGCTGGATCTATTTAGGAGTAGCTGAAAGGAATTTTAGGCCTAAAATTCAGCCTGTCAAGAATCATAGAATATCAGGGTTGGAAGGGACCTCAGGAGGTCATCTAATCCAACCCACTGCTCAAAGCAGGACTAATCCCCAATTTTTGCCCCAGATCCCTAAATGGCCCCCTCAAGGATTGAACTCACAACCCTGGATTTAGCAAGCCAATGCTCAAACCACTGAGCTATCCCTCCCCCCAAGAGTGTTATTATCTGGGGAGCAAGAGTCTCAGGATTCTACATATTCCTTTAAAAAAATAAAAAAAAAACCCAGTCTTAATTGTGAAATAAAAAGATAAACGAAGACACCATTTATGTCAGACCTACATATTAAAAATTGGGTTCTAATGTGCCCTCTGCTGGTCTGAGCATATTAATGAATAAACACTGCCCCCAGAATGATGCTGGTAACACGTAGATAGGGGATATCTTGATGATCCCACTGAATAGAATAAAAGGAAGCAAAAGCACATGCACCAGATTCTTTAAGACGACATTCTTACAGTTGTTCATAACAACCCCTTGGAAACTTAACATTGAAATCTCTTATCTTGCTGGGTTTCCCCACTCTTCCTAGGGCGAGGATAACCTGGTTCGTTATTGCAGGGCTGTGCAAACTGCTTTGTTCAAGTGACTCCAGTTTGGTAGACTCCAGTTTGCAAGTGTAGTGTTTCACCCACCAGTTTGTGACTTACTGTCGGGCTACCCACCACATAGGCGTGTATTGTGGGAAGATTGCACAAGCTAGCTTATTATTGTAGGGTTGGTCATTAGTACTTGGCTACTGGGATTTATTTCCTTTTTAAAATTATAAATAGCACTAATGTTTTTGTTTGTTTTGGTGGATGGGATCCACATGTAATCAGCATTGCAAACAACCAGACAAACACCACAATTAGGAGATCTAATTCTGCACCATGAAATCTTGCCATTGTCCCTTTCCTTTCATGCTCCACCAGTAACCACACAGGGGTAGGGGTCAGTTTAGCACACAAAGGGCCAGATCCTCAACTGATGTCACTGGGCATAGCTGTAGAGAAGCCAATGGTGCTGCGTCAGCAAACACTAGCTGAGGATCATGTTTAAGATGTTCCGTTCCGGCTTCCCGGACAAACAGGGAATGAGAAAATAAAGAAGCAAACAGTGCTTTAAAGGGACTCTTGATTAGTCTCTCCAAAGGGCAGCAGGGAAGGAGGAGACAGAAGGCCTTTGAGGGAGCATTTTCAAAGAACTCAGAGAGGAAACCCTGCTGCTGATGGCTGTGAAATAATCTGAAGAGCTTTTTATTTTACTGCCTTCTCCTCGCTCATCTCTGGCTCTGCTCCAAGCCAGCCAGACACACCTCGGGGAGTACCCTACCAATGGGCATATATGACTCTGGCTCTGGAGCAGCTTCCCTATTGAAATACAGACTTCTGCAGGCAAACATCAGGCTGCAGCACTTGCCTGGGGAATTTCTTTTTCTTTCCCTTTTTAATCTCACGCCTCGTCTGTAATTTTCATCTCAATGCTCCTGCAGATGTTCCCCAAAAGGCTTTCCTACTCCTAGGACGATGTGGAGTTTACAACCTGCCTCAAACACACCCTCGCATGCAGTGGAGGGTTGGCTTGGGGGATGCTTGTCCAGGGCAGTTCTTGTATCAGAACCGCATGATGCTTCCACAAGACCTGCATCAAGTCTCTCACCTATGAGAGGGAACTGGTTTTTATGCTATTGAATTTCTTAACAATTATCTCCAATTTCTGCTGGGCCCTGAATCTGCTGGGTCCTGGCTGTCCCCTCCTCACGGTATCGTGTGCGAAAACAGTCTGCTGCCGCATCCCAGAAAACTACCTGCCTCCCACCCCCAGCACTCCATGATCTGCCACCTCCGTACACTCAATCAGACTCAGCGTAACCAGATGCACGGCTCCCGGAGAATTCACTGCACTATATTCAGTGGTGACCCAGAGCAGGTGGAGAACCTGAGCACCAGTTTCTGCTCCCCTTCCTTCCACTGAGTCATGCTGTACCAATCGACAGGCTCCCAGAAGAGTAAGGAACTTGGATGAGTGAGGTGGGATGGAATCTGGTCCCACATTAGCATAATCTGTGCTGGTCTGCTGCCCGATTCTGCTCTCACTTACGCTGGTGCAAATCAGGAATGAGCCCACTGGAATCAGTACAGTTATATTAGTGACACATGGGTGTGCGAGGAGAATCCAGGCCCCAGACTGGTGAAATTTACATTTACATACGCACCCATTTTCTGATCCAATCACATCTGGACAGGCCACGTTCTCCTCCCACTCGCCCCAGCCAATCTCCAGTGACCCAACCCAAGTTACTCCTGATTCGCACCAGCGTGAAGGGGCGTTCAATAGACACATATTCATTGCACCGCTGACTCTGGTGTGGTACCTTGCAGTCATTTGACGCACAGAAGGCATTTGTCCAGCCAAGTGATGGGTGACCCTAGAGAAGGGAAGAATGGAGGAAGCAAACCAAAGATGGCTTATGCTGCCGGGTTGCCAAGAAAGGCTGCAGAATGGATGTTCAGGGAAGGGGCAGGGAATGACACTGTACTGAAGGCAGAGGGGACATGGCGCAGTGACGGAGGCAGGAGGGGACATGAGCAGCGTGACGTTCGCGGCCAGCTCTGCCTACCTGCTGGTCCAAATATTCTAGGTTTCTTTGCAACTGAAGGTCTAAAAGTTCATCCTATCAGGAGCCAACAGACATGCAGCAAAAACGGAAACACAAACAAACACACAAAGAAGAAGCAAAGCGGTTAGGTGAAGGCTGCAGAAAGGCAAAGAGCTCTCGGGCTGGGAGGCCAAGTACTGCCTCCTGCGGCGAAGCAGCCCCGAACACAGGACTGGCGGTGTGTGCTTTAGCACGAGCAGCCTTTTCAAGAGCTCTGTCTGTGCTCCTGGCAGGGGCTCCTGCTGGGAGCGTCCTCACAGCCCGTGCTCCTGCTCCATTCCCTAGAGCGCCTCCCGCTGGGTCGGGCTGGGACTGCAGTGAATGCTCCCCTACAGCCAATGCTCCTTCCCCATTTCCCAGAGCACCTCCGGCAGGGAGAGGCTGGGTTCAAAGCAGCTAGGAGCTCCCCGACAGCCAGCATTGCATCGCCTTCTGCTAGGAGAGGCTGGGTCTGCAGCAGCTGGGAGCTTCCACACGGCTAGGGCTCCTGCATTATTGCCATTAGTGCCTCTTGCTCCATGTGAGGGGAGCTGGCAGAGCCAGCAGCTCCTCTAACGAGCTGCCACACCCCACTGCTCGTTGCTTTCCCTGCCCCTTTGCCCTGCAGCATGGGAAGTTGGGAATGGAGCTTTTTGACATGGTTCCTGGATCGGCTCAATGGAATCAATGGCAGCAGGATTCCAGTCACACCTTTCCAGCTCAGCCACATGCATTTACCGATCAGACTGAAACCCTGTGTGCATAGCTAGGCAACAAGACAGGAGCAGTGAGGGGGAGAAGCTGCGTGCAGCAGGGGTGTGCGGCTCAAGTCCGTTCCGTGAGGCGTCTAAATCCCGGTCTGGGGTCTACCCACTGCTCCCCTGGTTAAAAGATCAGGTCAGAAAGATCAAGGCCCTGGCACAGAGCAGTTAAGTCCCAGGCTGGAGGTTCCAGCCCAGTCAAGTGGATTTTGGCTGCTGCCCCCTGACCTATTATAAGACCCAAATCAAAAAGCAAAGCTAAGGCTGGTTGGGAAAAGAAAAGCAGCTATTGAAGCCAAAACTGGGAATGGAAGAGAAAGAGGAAATGGAGGGCTCGATCCATCCTTCGCATCCACACCCCCCTTCCCCACCCCCCCGGCTGAAAGCCCTACAGCAAGGTGATAGGATACCGGGATTTCCAAGCATTTGTGCACCTTCGTTACCCCTTGAGGGGCGTCAGAGTGATGAGTCATAGGGTAGGCAAGTACCCCCAGGGTAACACATGCCCACCTTCCAATACCCTCCGCTCCACAGTGAGTACGCCACTCTGCAGTGGACAAGGTGGGGAAAGGTGGGAGCGCATTTCCATATGGTGTTCACTGGACCCAGCCCCGAACGGCACCCCCGCTGCCAGATGGTGCATCCCCTTCAAATCTTTGCAAAGGACTCAGAGCAGATCGGTTTCCTCCTCAGTCTTCCGAGAATGGATGCACCCCACTACCCAGCCTCCCGCCCCGCGGATGAGAAGTCAGTCTAGTCTGAGTCCCAGCTATGCTCCCTGCACATCCAGGCAGCAGGACTCACAGGGTGTCCGGTGCAATGAATAGAGAGGAAAGGGAAATACACCCCAGCTGCCACACATGCCCCTTGGCTGGACACACTCGCAATCTCAGGAAGCTCTAAACTTCCGGCCCCACGCCAGCAAAGCAGGCATCTCAGTATCACTTCCTTTATCCCTGACTCCAGCAGCTCCCGTGAGCTCCGCTGGCTAGAAACCAGCTCGGGAGAGACAAGGTCAGCAACAAAACGCCCGGACACCGACAGCACATACCATTTTGTCGTGGACTGTAGGGGACGCCGGGTAGTTGTAGGGATACATTCCCGCAGGGACAGGCCTCCTGTCACCCAGATAATCATACTAAGAAAAGAAGAGACCCCCCCCACAAGACATGTGAGATGTTTATACCACTCCACAAACTGACTGTGGTCGCTCACACTGTGCAGTTGGATCTCAGCTCGCTCAGTTTAAATTATACCCATTTTAGGGATGGAGAAGCTGAGGTAGTGAGCTTGCATGCCCAAGATCACACAGTGAGCCACTCGCGGAGATGGGAGCAGAACCCAACTCACTTGGCTCCAAGTTGTTTGCCTTATGGACAGCTCCCACTCCTTAGGAGGAGATTTTCTAGTGGGGAAGGGGGCAGGAAAGGAAAAAGGGTTCTGGCTACAAGTGGGTCTGAGTTCAGACACAGATCCCAGGTCTACAGTACGGGGGTGTTTGGATCCAGGTTTTGGGTCGGGCCCATCTCTAGCTCTGGCTGCACAACAGCTCAGCCAGTGTTCCCTTGCGCTGTCACAGCTCCGAGACCCCTGCGCTTACTGTCAGGGAAACCCAGAGGGGGCTCCTCAAGCCACTAATGGCTCAGATAACAGAATTACCCTGTGCCCCTGAGAGCATTGCCATCTCTCCCCGCTGTATCCCCTGCCCTGGCATGCTAGCACAGGCTTGCCCTCTTTGCTCATCTTACGAGGAGAAGCAGGAAGGAAACAAACACAAATAACCTTGCAGGGTATCTTCACGGGGAGGCAGAGGAGGTAGGCCAGGAGGAAGCTCTGAAGGCCAGCACCCTGGTCTAAGGACATCTGGCACAAGCAGAGCAGTCATGAAGGAGAGAAACTAACTCCCCCACCCTGAGCCAGGGACAGTGCAAGCGGGGGTGCAAGTTGAGCTTGCAATCTTGACCTGCAGACCGTTGTTATTCCAGACCTGGGCTCCCCCCATCCAGCTCTGCCAATGCCCCTCGATCCTGACCTGCAGTCCCCCTTGCTGTTCCTCTAAAGGGCAGGCATTTACCTTTGGGGAACTGACCGATCGCCTCATCATGTAGGCCGTGGGGTCAGCATAGATCTCCTCGCTCCTGGATGGCATCCTCTCAAAGCGGGTGCTGGGCGACCTGACCGGGGAGTACATCCTAGCCCTGTTGTAGGTGCCCTGGCTGGGCGAACGGGGCACGGACCTGGAGCGGGGCTGAAGAGACATCCTCCGCAGGGAGTCTGAAGCAGCATCCATCTCGTCGTAATAAACGGGCTGCCGGCCAGAGCCGGGGATCCAGATGGGGACGTCCTGCCTGCCGTAACCTGGGTGCTCCTTCCACTCACGCAGCTGGTAGGGGCCTCCATTGCGGAAGGAGTGGCGTTTGTCCTCCACAGCCCACTGTGGGCTCACCCGCTCGTAGGCGGGCATGGAGCAGATGCTGTCGGGGCGCACGCCGGGTGGGTAGTACTGGTAATCCTCAGGGTACTGGGGCGAGTAAGGGGCGTAGTAGTCAGGGACCCTTCGAGACATCGGGAAAAACCTGGTGGGGCTACAACCCCGCAAGGAAGGAAGGAAGGGAGAGAATCGTAAAACCTGGATCCAGCGCCTCAACGCCATCTGGCTCTGCAGGCTTTTCCCCATGGGAAAGCCACGGCCTCGGACTGCGCTGACGGGCCAGTGCCCACCTGCCACCTGCTAGCAGGGCAGATCCTGCGAGGGATGCCCAAGGTGCTGAGCAGTGCGGCATCCCCTGCCAGCGATGGGGCAGACCTCTGGACCCCATCCGGAGGGCAATCTGCTAGAACTCTGACACGGGGCTGCTCCCCACTGCACCAGCCTTTGGATCTCAGAGCAGGGGCCCACACAGCCGCCTTAGGAACCTAACTGGAGTCAGTGTAGGTCCTGGAAGACCTTAGGCCATGACTTTCCCCTCTGCCTAGCCACCTCCCCTGGGCATGGCTGGCACACAGCTGCTCCCCTATGCTGGTGGGCAGGCTGCAGCAGTGAGTTAGGCTTTGTGATCACTTCTACGTCTGGCCCCCTTTGCTTATGCTGCTGCTCCCCACGCTCCAAACTCACTGCCCTCTAGTCCCAGTCCTGGGGGGCAGGCCTATTGGTTTGCAAGGCCCAGCAGCACATAGTTTGGTGCTGGCACTGGGGTACCGCTTGGGATGGAGGTTTCCTGGCCCTCCCCCCGTCCCTGTGGATGGAGAACAGGATGGGGAACGCTCCCCACCCATCAGCTGGGAAGGATGGGAATGCTGCTCAGCCAGGGAGAGGAGAATATCTGCAGCCCTTTCCCTTATGTTAACCCCAGCACGGCACACCATGCAGCCCTCTCACCTCCTCAGCTCCTCTGGCGGGGCAGCCCCCCGGCGCAGGTTCACCCACTGCTGCAACTGCGTCATGGAGCTCTTCCTCTGGGCGATCTTCTCCGGGTTGGTGCGTGGCACAAAGCCCTGCCGGTGCACCACGCTCTCCCCATCCTGCGGCGGGTAGGCGGCGCTGCCGGGGCGGCTGGGGGAAGAGTACTGCCAGCCGTTGGGCTGCGTGGACCTCTCCACCCCCGCCGGAAACCGTGGGGCTTCAGGGTAAGGGCTGCTGGGCTCAGATGGCATCTCCTGGCCCACAATGCCATTGGCTTTCACCAGGGGTTCCTTCTTGCTGTCGATCCTTTCTGGCTTCCTTTCAATCTTCTCTGAACCACGCCCGTCACCCTCCCCTCTGGTCTTGGCTTCCAGGTCTGCTTTGGGGTGCTCCCGGTGAGCGGTGGTCCGGTGGTGGTGGTGCTTGCTGGGGGGGATGTTCTCAGAGTCCGTCTTCTCTCGCCTGCCAGGCACAGAAACGCAGAGCGTCACCTCCTGCTGGACAGCAACCCTGGGCCCAAATCATCCCAGAACAGCGGGGCCGATCCAGTCCCTGCACCCCTAGTGGATGGTTACTGACCCTCTTGGCTCTGACACGTTCCCCAAATTGCTGCACACCCTGCATGCTCCAAAGGACTTCAGTTTTCTAGCCACTGTCCCTCCAAGTGCTGAAAGGACCACATAGTTAATGGCCACTTCCCCTCATCTCCAAAGGGACCCCAAGTTACCTAGCAACTGTGCCCCCAAGTTAATAGCCACTGTATCCTCCAGTGTGCCCCCAACTTGAGCCGGGACACCCTCCCCCCAATTCTCTAAAGAGACCCAGAGTCTTTGGCCACTGTTGCATAGCGTATGGGGCCTGTCGTGCTGACCTTTGGGGGGGTGGGATCTGCACCCGGGCAGCCTCGCCCATGGCTTGGATCCAGGACTCCTGCTCTTCGGTGTTCTCGGCGCTGAAGAAGTAGGTTCGGATGCCGGCGTGCTCGGCCTGGGGAGAGAGGGACTGCGTGTGACGCCCCAGTGCCTCCTCCACCCAGCACACGGTCACCTGCAGGGAGGGAGAGAAGCGCAGACACAGAGGAAGAAGAGAGAAGTCAGTCGTCCAGCTGAGGGCGCCTGGAATCGTAGGCAAAGCCATGACAGCTCTCCCCCAGGGCCAAGTCCACCACACGCCCCGCCACAGGGTCAGAGAGATGGACACAGACCCATCAAATCATCAGGTCCGTCCCCCAGCCAGTCAGGTGAAAATGACCCAACGCCCTGGGACATCGGGAGAGGAACTGGAGGAATATGTCCAGCCAGGAATGGATTTATCCAGGCTCATCCAACTCACAACTTCAATTATAGACGGGCCTGACTCAAAACCTCCCCGATTGAAACAGCTGATCATCAAGGAAGTTCAGATCCAGGAAGTGGCAGGATGCTACACTGAGCCAAACTCCAGATCCAAATGCTCTTTGCAAATATGGATGCAAATCTTGCAGGTTGGCCACTGATGTCAGTGCATGTCCCCTACATGGATGTTCAGAGCTCAAAAAGGAGCTGGCTGGCAATGGTAAGATAAGAACAGAGCTGGTCAAAATATTCTCACTGGTTCCCTGGGTTTCCCCTTCCCTCCTCACCAACCCCAAAGACTGAAAACCACAGTTTTGACATTTGTTTTGCCAAAAAACCCCAAATATTCCAACAAAATGGAAAATTCTTCCTTATGTTCGAACCCGTCCCCCCCGGGGCAATATGTAGCTTTTTTTGACCAACTGCTGTTACTAGTCAAGGGCTCCCAGCCCCAGAGGAATCTTTCCTGCCAGGCTCATACAAACCTCGGTCTTTCCACCAAGTTCCCTACACTGGGAAGGTCTAAGCATGCGAGCCGCAAGAGAGAGAAATAAACCCCAGTGTTTCGTCCCCCTTCGTCAGGTGGGGGTGAATAAGGCATGCTGGGCAATCTGTGACCGGCCGCATCCCTTCTCTTTCTGGCATGCATTTGGAAATGGAAGGAGCATACTACCTATGTGGTGGCTGTGTGCTGGCATTGCAGACAGGCACTTGGAAGAAACCTCCTCTCCAGGGGGGAGATCCTCACGTGGAAGAAAGGAGGAAACACAGAGAACAGGTCAAACCACCCAGCAGAGAATTCAACCGGGAGATGCATCAGGCAGGCAGAGCATGGCAGGAGCAGCACCGTCACCAAAGAAGGGCAGATGGAGGGTAGCCGAGGGCATGGTCAGCGCTGGGTTAGCCTGTCTGTTTAGCTGACCAGTTTAGTTCTAAGGCACTAGCCATTCGAGTCCCTAAGCCCCGTACAGAATTAAGAAATATCGGCGTCCATAAGAAAAATGGTTCTCATTGCAGCGCTGTTTGGAAAATGTCAGTTTACTCCAATTTGAAACACTGATGTTTTTATCCAAATTTCCCATGAAAACGTCCAGTTTTTCAGTGAAAAACAAAATAAAAAAGCTTTTCAGGCTTTTTTGGGAAGGAGAAAAAAATGGTTTTCAGTAAAAAAAAAGTCACCCAAACACATGTGGGTCAAAATTTTTCTTTTGCAACGAAAAATGGCTTTTTGGGGTCAGAGAATTGTATGTCGATGGGAACCTTGCACCCAGCTCCAGTGGAAAGGGGTACATGAGTGTAAGCACGCTCCACGACTGGCACCAAGGCTCAGCACAGTCCCTAGGAACCAGACAAGCTCTAGAGAGGCGCTCCAGTGATGCGCTGAGGTTAATTTTGCCCTCAGTGCTGGCATCCGCCAGGCCCCAAATCCTGCCCCGCTTCACCAGAGACTTTGTTGAATCAGGGCCTAGGCACGTGCTTGAGTCCTATTGCAGTCAATGGGACGTAGCATGTGCTTTGCCCAAGCGGCACCTTCCAGCCGCTGCAGCTCCACAGAAGCCAAAGGGACGGCACAGAGTAAGTGGGGGCACAAACTAGCTACTAAGTGCTTCTCTGACCTCCCCCAAACCCTGGCCTGGGTCAGGAAAGAGGCGGCTGAGGAGAGTAATAAAACATGATAAAGCCTTAAATCTCTCATTTTCCCCTTGGCTGACGTTGGGTCTGAGCCACGTTTTCTCTAACCCAGGCTCCCTCTGTTCCCCATATGGGCCTGAAGGGGTTAACCTGACTGGCAGAGAGTTCAGGAGGCAGGATCCATTCTTTATTAATGACCCAAACATTCCCAGGACTTGCCAGTTCTTGAAGGCTCCTTCCCTTGCTCTCTTCTTTTATTGCCATTGATAGGACAGGGAGACTGGAGCTCAGGCTCTGGAGGGCGGAGCAGACCTTTTGCCCTGTGCTGAATGTTGCAATATAAGGTTTGGAGCAGGAGTGAATGTGCAAACAATATTCCAGTGATGCGCACCCAAAAATGCCTCAGAATAAAAACAAAATAGAGGGGTGGGTGTAGCACGGCCCAGGTGGGAGATAATCAAGGTTGCGTGTGTAGCGTTGCCCCCAGCTGCAGAGAATCCAGACTCTGTGTGCGTCTCTGTCCCCAGCTGGAGAGAATCCAGACTCTGTGTGCGTCTCTGTCCCCAGCTGGAGAGAATCAAGGCACTGTGCGTGCAAGCACTCTGCGTAGGAGTGTGTTTTTGTGACTTGCGGATTTTTGTTTCTGTGTGTACGTTTGTGTGCATCAGTGGGCGAGCCGGGTTTTTTTTGAGCGAGAGCGGAGCGTAAAACGTGTGCAAGTGAGTGGGTGTTTGTGTGCGGGAGTATGTTTGTGTGTGTGTGTGTTCACACGCGAGGTGTGTTTGGTCTGTGTGCTCGTGCAAGTGTGAATATGCCTATGTACAAGTGTGAAAAAAAATTAAGCCTTTGAGTCTGTGTTTGGCCCATGGCTTGGATGCAAATTTCAATGTGCATATGTGAAGGTACAGGTTATTCTAGTCTAGGTGAGTTGCAAGCATGGGCTACCACGTGTACAACGGTGCTTGTGCGTGTATGAGCGTGCGTGCGTGCGTAACACGAAGTGTTCTTGGGAGGATGAAACCAAACGGCTCCTTTGGCCCACAGCGCAGCAGGAATTTCACAGCTTCAGTCGCTGCTCCACCGCAGCTGCGTCCCTCAGCACAGAAGTTTGACAAGTAGAAACTAATTACGTGCTAAACCATGACAATTTATTGCCTTGTGTGTGTGAGTGCGTGTGTGTGTGAGAGAGTGTGTGAACACTAGTCTCAACTAGTTGAGAAGGGAGATGGGGGAAGCCCTCCTGCACATAGCAACGCTGGCTTACGTATGTTTGTTGTTTTTATTGAAATGGGAGAGTAATTCAAAACAGGGGGAACGGCTGAGCAGAAGTCTTGTGAAAACCCTCTCATGACACCACAGCTGTCAGCTAAGAAGGAGAAGCCCCTCCTTGGCATTGGGTTACTAGCACGCTTTGATCACCTCTGGCTAGGAGCAATTCACTCTTGTGCAGCAGGCTAACACACTTAAACCCATGTGGTTGACACAAGGCTTCCAGTTAGAGGCAGTGTGGCCTAGTGACTAGAGCACTGGACTGGACATCAGGAGACCTGGGTTCTATTCTTGGCTCTGCCACAGGCCTGCTGGATGACCTTGGGCAAGTCACTTGCCTTCCGTGTGCCTCAGTTACCCCATCTGTACAACAGGGGTAATGATCCTGACCTCCTTCGTAAAGTGCTTTGAGAGCTATGGTGTAAAGCACTCGGCGGTGTTATTATTGTGCTGCTTTCTGCACAGGGGTCAATTTCACCCCGTATTAGCAGCAAGACTGCTAAGCACCCTCAACTCCCACTGAAGGCAATAGGAGCTGAAGGGACTCACCATCACACAGGCTCTAACCCAGTCTGGATCTGCACGCCAGCTCCTCCACCCATCTCTCTTACGGACAGAGGGACAGCCTCAGAGGAGGAAGAAGCAGCAGGATTCCTCCTACAATCCAAGCCCCCTACCCAAATCACGGGGCAGTTTGGTTTGGATCTGGTCTTTGCTTTCTGGCTAAACGTTATTGGACAGGAAACTTAGAGACCCAATTCCCCTCTGCTTTACCTCTCATGTGGTCCTCTTCACATCTGAGCAAAGCAGGTGGCTCAGAGTGGGGGTGCCATATGCCCCCCACCCCGCTTGGTGCAGGTGTGGCCAGGGACAAAAGGGCAGCTAGGTTCTCGGAAGGGAGGGTCACGCTACAAACTGCGGGACCATTCGTGGCCTCTGGGAACCGGGCCAACGAATGGGAGCGCAATGCTGCCCCCGAGACGCCGTCACGGTCACACACTGACCTTGAAGGTGTGTTTCCTGCTGATGTTGTCCGACGGCTGGATGGCCGCCACCCGGAAGCTGAGGAGAGGGATGCTGCCCAAGATGCTGTCCTCCTTCTCATCTGCATTGACCCAGGGGGAGAAATGGGAGTTAGATAAGGAGAGGGGAGTTCCCCTCCTTAGGCCGGTTTGGAGATGCCAAGTGGTTAACAAGACCCGTCTCCCCTTTAAAGCTGGAGAGCGAGGAGAGAGGGAAGTGGCCGAGGTGCCTCTGACTAGGAATGCATCCCTCCCTTCTCCTGCTGAAATGGGAGCTGGGCTCCTGAGAGCGACCACAGCCCAGGGCGCTGAGAACACCGCACCTGGACTGGAGCCAGCCTACCTGTGGAAGCCGGCTTCCTCCCTGTCGCATCTGCCCATCTGTTGTTCTCTTCTTGCCCCTCCCCACCGCCCCCGCAAAAACCTATCAGTGTCAGCTCACAATACAGGCTGGTTAATTATTCATGCCTGCCCTCCAGACCTGCTGCCAGGGATTAGGCCGAGCCAGCGGCCTGCTGGAAAGCGAAGATTGCAAAAGGTGTGGGCTGTGTGAAGGGGCGAATCTCCATACTGAGGGGTGCTCCAGCCCGAATGAGGCCAGGGCTGGGTGGGGAGAAGGTTGGGGACTGATTTGGCACCCAAATTCAGGACTGGCTTCCGTCACTCCTTTATGGCATGGGACGGCTGTTTCCCATGGACCTGGAGCTGCTGTATGGTCCCTCATGCCTTCTTTGTTTCTTGGCACCATTGATAACAGTTGCTCGAAAAGCCAACCTGGCCCTAGGAGGTCCAGGCAAAAAGGCGACGGGTTTGTCTGCGGATGTTAATCATTTACACAGGGATGCTGGATTCGGAGTCTTGAGCATTCAGAACCGGGGCATGCCAAGAGCAGCACCTCTGGAATTCAGACCCACAGCTCCCCACGGAGAGAGGCAGGGCTAGCTTCTGGTCTCCTCTGGGCCAGGTGAGTAAGGGAACAGCTGAATTTGTACCAAGCACGATCCCTTGCACAGTGTTTAACCAGAAGGCCGTGCAACCTTCCCCCCCACCTTGAATACTATAAGAGAAAAGGCTACAGAAAAACAAACCTAAGGATGCATGGACGAAGCTACCTTCCGCAGCATTCACCCCTGGGAGCACCTTGTACAATCTCTCTCCGAGCCCTGTCCTGTGAGGTGCTAACTGTACATGGCTCTCATTGAGGGGGAAGATGCTCGGCACCCCACAAGGATCCCTCAGCTCCTCATAATAGCAGAGCCTTCCCTTTGAAGGGGAGGGTTTTAACTCCTCCTCTGACTGGCCGCACCCCTCTCCCTGCAGCCACCTGCTCGGTGGGACTCACTCTGCATCAAACAAACTGGGTTTCTTCCCTGGCGCTGGACTCTGAGATCCCACCCCAGCTGCCCAGATTGAACCCTGGCCACCTGGCTTTGGGGCTGTGAGTGCACCAGGAGCTGCCGCGGCCCTGCCCCATCAGGACTGGGCCCATGGGACGGCTCTTTAGACCTCGGCCCCACCACATACCTTTGTAATAGAAGAGGCAGCGATCCACCAGCACAAACCAGCGCTTATTCCACTGCTTCACGCCAGAACTGGCCTGCAAGAGAGGCACGAGTGAGAGGGCGCCCCAGACCTGTAGCTGCTTGTAAAGCAGAGAGAGGGGAAAGTGGGGGAAGCAGCAGCATCTTGTGCATCACAGGGAGAGCTCGGGATGAGCTCCATTGAGGAGAGGGCGCAGGGTGGCAGAGAGCCCAGCTGCACGGCTTGCAGGAGCCATTGCGAGAGGGATTTACTGGGGAGAGGTGCAGGCCAGATGAAGCAGACACCCAGCAGCAGCGCTCCCTGCTGTCACAGTCAGATCCTGGGGATGCACCGGAGAGAGGTTGGGACAGATAGAGGGCAGCCCGCCCTGCATAACACCTCATGCTTTTACATGGAGACCCTCCGGGGCGGGGGGAGTTTGGCAGGTGCCTGGAATAGGCACCCAAGAGCCATGCCCCATGCAGTCCCACACCAGTCCTAGTGCGGCATGGGGCCTAGGGTCACCACATCGTCCCGACAGAGGAAGGTGGCACTGCGAGATGCCTGGCTCAGCCAGGGGAATGCTACCTGCTTGAACAGCCAGCCGCTTTTGGTCACCGTGGCACTGGGGTTCCGCTTCATGGAGTTGGAGCGTTTCCCAAAGGCGATCCCCTTCCGGGAAGGGCGTGAGGCCTTTGGAGAAGGAGAGAGGAGGCTCTCAGAATGCACCGGCGTTAGCAGGCTGTGGAACAGCCTCTCCCAGGGGTGGCGGCAGCAGCTGTTGGGGGCGTTTGCTTTTCAGGCAAACCCACGGGGAATAGTAAGACCCAGCCATGCAGCTCACTGAGCATGCGGCTGGGGGATGCCATGCAACGCTGCCATCTGGCGAGCGAGGGAGAGCCGCATCTTACCGCCAGTGCACCTACCACATCACCCCTGGGGAAATCTCAGCCTTTTATCTACTTGTCCCAGGCTTGCAGTTGCTTCCTTCTTGCAACCAGCTCCCAGCTCGGCCTATCTTTTCCATACTGCAAAATAGGGTTGGATCCTAATCGCTGTCTTTACTTTGCTGATGCTCTGATCCCAGCCAGCTACTTCCCCTTGGTTTGGAAGGAGCGTGACAATCACCTCGCTGCTATGTCGCATTTTTCATTCCCACATCTCAAAGAACCTCACAAAGGTGAGTCAGTATCATTGGCCCCATTTTACAGAGGGGGAAACTGAGCACGGAGCAGGGAAGCCACTTGGCCGAAAGCAGGGGGTCTGTGGCAGAGCTGAGAAATGAACCTAGATCTCCTGAGTGCCAGTCCAGTGCCTAAACACCCATCTCCCTCCCTGAATGCCTTTTGTGCGGGCTGGGGGCTTCTGGTTGCCCACAGCGACTCCAGCAGGCCAAATACATCTGCTTACCAGCAGGCATCCGCCAGGGCAGGTGTGCTTGGTTACCCCCAGCCCATTCAGCAAGAAGAAAGGCCCTTTCAGATGTCCAGAGGCAATGAGAACATTAGGTGTAAGGGGCAGCTTAGATCCAGCTGACTAGTGGCATGGTTGGGAATAGATTCCTAGGGTCCCAGGCCAGTGCCCAGTGTTCCATGAACATACCCTGCCGTTTGGTCGCTCCTGAGGCATCTCTGACACCATGGTGTGGTTGGATGATTCGCTGCTGATGGTCGCCGGTCGCTTCCCACCTGCTTTGCTGGACATGTCCACTGTAGAGCTGCCATCAAGACAGAGAGAGAAGGGAGAGAAAGAAGCTTATTAGCGATCTCTGCAAGGACAGCTGAGGAATAACGGCCTAAGCGCCTGCCCCATACGTACGACACACTGATACACTTATGGTGCTTGCCTATATGCACAGGGCCGGAGCCAAAGCTAATTGCAACCAGCAGAGGGTCTTTCCATTGACTTCCACAGATGAGGCCTACGCTGTGCAAACACACAGACTACACATACATACATAGCAAAGTAAGGCTGTCCCTCGTCTCACAGCAAAGCCACACTGTTCCCTACTCTCTACCATGCCTGACCCGTAGATCCCCTGCTGTGGTCTTTGCTCTCAATATTTCCTTGGTATTATTAGTTCTTTTCTCCTCTGGTTCACTCACTCACACACCATTCTAAAGCAAACCTACTTCTGTAAGTGTAAGTCAAATCTTGCGTTTTCTTCTGGGATGTGTCCAGTCACGGGATGCAGGAACGTGTTCCGTCTTTCATTGTGGCTGGAAAACACAGAGGAGAATTTGCAGGAATTAAGCGGCTTTGGAGTGAATGGAGTGGCTGAGCTATGGTTAAGCATCACGGCCCTTCTTTTGCTTCGTATACCAGTTCAAAATGCTGAAAATTGCTGCTTCAGGATATTACGGAGGCAAATAACTGAAGGCTTGACTGTGCCTAGCCTTCGGCTTCTTTCTGACACGGCTCATGAATGAATTTCAACTCACTAAGGGCGGAAACAACATTTGCAGTGACTCTACACTAGTAAAAAATGATCCGGGTTTACCAAGCCACATGCTTCAGGGCATATGTTTATCACCAGATGGGGTCAGGAAGGATTCCCCTCCTCTACCATAGAGTATGTATACAAGGTCACCTCCTCAAAATGTACCTATTGGCATTGTGCCAATAGGTACATTTTGAGGAGGTGACCTTGTATACATATCCCTGAAACTTCCTGCACTGCCCACTGCTGGAGATGGGTTGCCAGCCTAGGTGGCAACTGGTCTCTTCTTGTCTAGCTGGTCTCATGACTAAGAATGAGTGAACCTTGGGTAGTTTGAGGTGGATAGAACCTCAGTATGTTTTAGGGATTTGTAAAATTAATTCATGCTCAGGAGATGCAGGAACTTGAAACATTGGTGGGTTGTGGGGGTGGGGGAGAAGGAGAGGGTTTTGTGATTCAGTTATAACTGCCCCCTCCCATCTTTCAGCCCGGTTATTTATTAGGGACAGAAGAATCTGTCTGCCCCACAAGCTGGACAGAACACAAGCCGTGCTAGTCCCAGTCATGTGCCCATTTCAGCCCTAAATTCTTGGGCTTTGTGGTTGTAATTTCAACTCCGCCCTAGGTGTATGCCAATAAGAGGTGACTACTACTTTAAGACAAGGTGGGATTGTACGCAGGAGGCTTGGCAAATCAGCTGGACCATCTCTGTGGCTGAAGAGAGACAAGGTCAGGGCAGAGCGTGGAGATAAAAACACATGGTAAAGCCCACCTAGCAGCTGCCAGTAGGCCTGGCCGACATATGGTGCTGGGAGATGGAGTTCATCCATGCACAATGCTCTCCCTCTCCTCTTCTCACTGAGCAATGATGCCACAAAGGCAGATCCTCCTCAGGCCAGTATCCACAGTACATCCACTTTCCCAGGTACACAACCAGATGGATGGAAGCGTGTATGCCACATTTGCACAGACCCGGCACACAAAACCAGACTAGCATTAGC